ATCCCCACCAATTATTGCAATATTGCATGGGCACTACTGACCGCTTCAATATCGTTTTTAATTAAAAATTTAGGCTAGGTCACTTTCAAAAACATTTGCATGGATAGGAAACTTGTGAGAGGCTTGGTGGCAGCACACCCATCGGTACTTTCAGTTGTTCACGTCATGTTTAAGTCAATGTGCGCGCATGTGCAAAATGACGCAAACAATAGCAAAAGACCGGTACGTTTGCTGCCACCAGAAAAAAAAAGTATCTCAAAAGTCTCCAATAAGCCCTCGGATGAGGGTGCTGTGGAGTTACCATTGACAGTGGTGCGAACACACGTATCCAAAAATTACATTTTAAACAAGATTCACTCAAAGCTACCAAACTCGTTTAGTGAACAGTATGTGTAAGTGTTTGTACCAACGAATGGGACGTTTCAACAGCACACTCATCCACTTATTATGGCCTACTTCGTACAAACGGAGCATGCGTGCATGGAAGTACTGACCCGCGGTCATCAGGTATGTACCGATATCAAACGAAAACTCAAATAATATAGAGATAACTAGTGCCCCTGGATAGGCCGGTGGGAAGAACTGATATGAACATCATCAGTTTGAGAATAAATCATAAAATGTGCTATCCCCCCCGAAAAAAATATAAAAATATAAAAAATAAAATAATGATAATAATAATAAGCAAAAATACACTTCAACGATTGCCATGTAAAGACACCATTTATGTATATTTCTGAAACTGTTTAAAATGTGATTTCCAACATTATAAAATAACATTTAGTTTTTATTGAATATTGATTCACGTAGAAGCCACAAACATAACTTTGTTATAATTTTGGAAACACTGAGCTCAACTGAAAAAATGTAACTTCTTCATGTGAAAAGTAAAGTGACATATGCATGGATGTAAGCCACCCTGAAGTACATTGCCTGCTCAATATTAGTCGCTTTTCACAGTCTGAAGCTTTTTAAGCGCATTTCAAAGAATGACCGCAATACTGTAAATAGCAATATCCTCTTTGGAATTTAATTCTCTATGAACAAACGTTTGAGATGTTTGATCTGATTTTACGTTTTAATATTCGACGATTTAGTTTCAGATATTGTAGAGAGATAAAATGAAACCCACACAATGCGTGCGATCGTTGATTGCTCATGTAGTTCACATCACTTAACGTAAAACTCCCGACCAGCGCATAAAATCGTCATGTGAATTAAAGAAACCAATAAAGACATAATATAGAATTTTTTTAAGAACTCAAACGCTGAAAGCATAGATAGTTTGATTCGCAACGCTTTTGAAAATAGTTACTGTTATTTTTATTTGAAATCAAAAGAGTGTTACATCAAAGCAAGCCTATGTCGACTACTATACATGTACATTTAACTGTCAATTAAATTAGAGTGATTACTTGATTTTTCGGTATATGACAAAACGGACTTTTTATTTGTTCAAACATGGTCAAAAAAGTCTTCCCGTAGGGCCTACTGATAAAATGACTTTGTTATCTTTTCCACACTACCGCAGTTGCGTATCCAGAAGTGGTTGGACCTTGCCCCCCCCTCCCCCCGGCGGATTTTTGTGAAAGATATTTGAATAATAGTTCTGACATGAACCCCCCCCCCCCTCGAGCAAGCTCTAAAAGCATCACAATGGCCCTTGAAAATGGACCTATCATATTTACCATAATGTATGATAATGGTGTCTGGCAAATCCTTAAATGTTTTGACAGTAGTCGGTTTATGTTCCAACAAATTCACTGATTCCTTTTGGGAATCACTCTTTTGGTCTAGACATTGTCCACTCTAGTTAGGACAAGGACTAGTTACCACCATAGTTGTTCCAAGCGTCGTTGAGTTGTCTGGTTGACAGCAGGCGCGATTTTGAAGCCCATAGCAGTGGATCCAGATTTTTTGCAGGGAGGCATGCTGAAATGTATACAGTTTTCTTCTCTGGACACTTGGATGTATCATATTTTCAATTGGGAGCACTTACAGAATCCTACTATCATTTACACTGTACTACAGACGCCCACTTCTCATGAGTATTTATATTGGGGTAGACCGTTTGCATGTGACGTCACCTTTTAACATTTGCTACTGCCATTTTGTATGCCAATTCTTGTTTCTTGTTTTTTTTTATTTGTGTGTGTGGGGGGGGGGTAGACTTTTGTTTTGTTGTTTTTGCTGGGGAGGGGCTCAAGCCCACCTGGCCCCGGTAGAACCGCGCCAAGTCGACAGTATGGTACAATTACAGTTACCAATAACATTTTTCACTTGTCATCAGTCCTGAAAATGTGTGTTCATCAAATCAGATGGGTTTGATCCCAGGGATGGAAGTGGTGGAGGGACGACATGTTCCCCAACATTTTTGGTCGATGAATTTTAATCGCTTGCCACTCCTCCAATAATGTATCTCAGTCTTAACCCAATATACTTAAATTGTACTGTTCCTGTCTTCCAAAGGTGATATAACTGTAAGATATTTTGTTTGTGTACCATAATGGGCGTAAATGCACAGATTAATACGTACATGTGTGCCTTTTGAACCTATTTTAAATACATGTTGGGAGAGCAAACTTGTTCTGTTTCGGAAGTTTTGGACCGAAAAAGTAACTTTTTCATTTCAAACACTTGAGTTGGTTTCAAACAATTGGGAAAATAAAACTTTCTTCTACTGGACTAGACAAATCTTGATAACGTCTTTACAACATCCCCCCTCCCCCCCCCAAAAAAAATGAAGATTTGGTTGCTTAACAGATTAATTTGGAGGTCGTACAATGGGAGATCCAATAATAAACAAATCAAGAGTAGTTCAATAAAACCTAATAATTTCCGTATAAGACGAGCAGAAAGGAGAAAAGGACAAGAATGGAAGAAACGGAACAAGGAGAGAAATGGACAAGAAAAGAAGGGAGAGAAAAAAAAAAACATTCATTAGGGAAAAAAGAAATAATACCAACATTAAAACAGCACCAATAGAGGGTCGTTCTGATGGCACTTACTCACAACACCTCTAAAGTTCGGTCCAAAAAAAAAAGATAAGCAGAAGTGGAAAGAGGCATCAGGCATTTTGTTCAGAGCTGGAGCTAGTGTATGGAGGTGCTCACTCACTTGTAAGCTGCTCATTGACTGGCTCATTTGTGTGACACTCTTAACTAAGAAAATGTATTTGACCCCCTCAAAAATAAGCAGTTAAAGAAGCAAGTGGAAACAAAATACTATTCTAATAAGAAAGGATCCTATACTCCTATTTAACAAAGAGTCTCAAATAGAGTGTAAAATAGAAAGAAAAGTATACTCCACCCACACACATACCTATGAACAGCACCCTCAAAAGACAGAGCCCCCCCCCCCCCACGCTTGCGAATTTTCTTTTCCGAAACTACCTCCGCATACATGTGTATTGATTAGAAATAATTTATTTACTTTGCCCATAAGGTCAAATGAGGGCGCTGTTAAAGTTAACCGATTAAACTTCCGCAGATTTGTTGGGGGTTAGGAGGATATAGAAATAGTACGTTCATCAGCGGCAGATATCTTGTTTTTATCAATATCAGACCGATTTAGTCCTACAGCCGACGGCCGGAATGTATTTTTAGACACCAGAGGAAGAAGAGACAGCCCTGGAGCCCGTGCACTGGCTGGTATGGGATTGATTGATTTCTTGTTCATGTTATTTTGGGGGTTTTACAAGCAACGAAAGTGTAACTTCCATGATACCGACCGGGTCAGAGGTGTGGGGGACTGTGCTTGTGTGTAGTACCCCTAGCATATACCATTATGTTCACATGTCTGTACTCGTACCTTTGAGTCTAACATTGGGACTATAAATGTTCATTGTTGTGGGAAGGCTGTTGTATTTGCAATGGAGCTCTTCGTATCTGGGTTGGACTATGTAATTTTCTAGGATAAATTTATTAATTGTTCACACATGTAACGTGATTGATGGGATACGTGCACATGTATGTGAAGTTATGGGCGTTTATATTGGTTTATTTTTAATGTATTTGATTACTATGTTTTTTGGTGATGAATGGGAGATGGACGACTAAAAAAATTGATGTGACCGAATCATCACCCCTGAACCTCGACTCCACACCGAGTTTCACTACGCATGGATGGCGCCCTCTACGATATTTTTATGATACGTACGCAGGTATATAATTATCAACAGTTTAAGAAGGAAGTGGAGTCAAAATACTAGTCTAATGGGTAAAGTGTCCTACACCTATATTTAACAAAGAGTCTCAAATAGAGCGCAAAAATACTCCTCCATACACATACATCTGTCAACCGTGCCCTCTAAATGCAGATGCCCCCCCCCCCCCCGCTTCCGAAGTTCCAAGCTGTTGGTCCCCCGTCCCCCAAATGTTTACCGCTACACAGGCATGTTTCCTCGAGAGTGCCACTAGGCAGTGACGAGGGCAGTGATAAATGCTGACTATGCTGTGTCATATAGTTTTGTTTTTAATCTGACGGTAACCTGGCCTACAATCTGTTCAACAGACGCCAATTAAAGGGAATATACATCATTTGCTTTTGCTGTAATTTTCAGAAATGGATGGAATTGGGGGTTTGGAAATATATAGCAAATATAGTTACACTGACTTTTTTGAGGTTTGGGGTTCGAAAATGCTATAAAAACCAAGCAAAAACAATCATTTTCCTGTAGTCTGGTTCCCTGACTCCATATAAGAAGAAACAGAGCAGTTTACATACATTGGGGAATTGTAAGGTCAGGGAACCTGTCTAGCTGGCTTGTACCCGTTCATAGGTGTGTAATCGATTGCAAACAAGTGCGATGGTCAATTGGGGCCAGTATTGGAAATTGATACAAAAATACCACTTTTCTTGAAAATGACAGTATACAAGGTGCCATGATTTTACAGGATACTTTACACTGTCATTCACTAACAGTCCAGCAAGGTTTTTCAAAATGATTTGGTTGTTTTATTTTTTGATGTTTGCAAATGTTGTATTTTCCCTCTAAGGGTTAGCTTTGGGGTCATTCTCGATTCTTTATCGGTACACAATTGATTAGCTTTGTTCACAACCACCACCACTGAGACATGGCACTCACACTGTTTCCATTTGTTGTTACGGATAGGTGAGTATATGCCCTGTTTAAGGTCGACTCTTGAAACTTCAATTCTCATGTATTCTATGATTGTTCCCTCGATTGTAGCTTTTAGCCGAAAAGGTCCCAGTGCTCGATCAAGTTATATAGGCGAGTATAAACAACGAGAGTTTACAGTGAATGAATTTTACAGAATCTATTGTATTTGACATCGGGTCATTGCATAAGCATGGTATAGACTTTCACACAACCCGCGTAGTATTTTCTTCTGTGGCTTTTTCCCTTGTAAATTTAAAAAATAATATTTGAATGACAAACGATGTCGCTGAAACGATAACTATGCACTTTGTATATAGTAAAGTGACCTTTTTCTTTTTGATCATCATACATCCATTAAATTCACAAGGGAAGTTCAAGTACTTTGCAGTCAAGGTACAAGGTACAGGTATCCCGTGATTGATTGATTGTATTGCGTGTATACTAACTTGTTTTGGTTTACAAATCTCAGACGCCTGTTCTTACCACAGGAGATAGGAGTTTTGTTGTGATCAGCTGGATTTTATCATTGCTGGTTTAAGACTGCATATTATATCGAATGAAGGTGCCATTCTTCCACATCATTGCATTTACAGATCGACGATCAGTGTGCCACTTACACCGCCTGCTGTACTGAGTATACGATCTTCATATCAGCATACTGAAGTAAGATTTGACTAGAAACAAAATTGAACTTGACTAGGCATAATGAGGGTTTTTTATACTGGTTGTTATTGGTTGTATTCGAACGAAAATGTATAATCAGCCAAAAAGGTGATTCAGAGTCGGGGTTATTAAACGTAATGTAACAGTGGGTCTAAAACGACTGGAGTGTTTTTTTTTCTGTACAGATTTCATCATCTTTGTGTTTGAGACGTGTTTGTACAAGCTTGATATCATGTGTTGCCAAAAACGCAATCATCATGTACAATTATGTTGCTCAACTAATTTGCTTTAACCGCGTAAAAGCGGAAAAACGTTTGTTTTTTTCTGTTGTTTTTTTCCTTTTTGTTCCACCCATAATCGCATAGACTTTGTATATGTTTTATTCCGCCTGACAATTTTACCCTTAAACAAAATCATATTCCCATAAAACTAAACATAGACAAAGACCAGATAGGTAACACATGTGTAGAAGAGTAACGTCATCATGGCCTAATCATCATGGGTCGGTTGAAACTTGGTATGTGAGTATACTGGGATGTATGCTTTATTAATTTTTAAACCTTTTACATTTTCTTCTAGAAAAATATTGACATAAAATGCAATCAGATTGCATTCAAACTAGGTAAGGACAAGAACCAAAGGTTAGGTTGGCCCAGACAAGTGATGTTATGATGACGTAATGAATGGTCTAATGACGTCATCCGTAAAGGTGTATATGTTTAAGATTTTATATCTAGAGCACTGTAGGTCAGATTGGGTGTTTGAGCTTGGTATGTACATAGACAAGGATGTGTTACAGACACAAACTGGGTGACGTCATGATGACGTCATCATGGGTCCCGATACGTCTGCATATTTTAAAGTCATATATGTGGAGAACTACAAAAATAGCTAAATTCGCCATGGAACTACATTAATGTTCAAACCATAACAAACATAAACTCATACAAAACATGTTCCGTTCCACGAACAGACATAGATCTAGTTGGTAAGTTTGAGCGTTTATCTGCCACTGGAAACTTCGACATGTATATTTGTTGGCAGGCAGAATCTGCTGGTGTTTTTTTTTGATATTTTCCTTCGTAGAGTACGCCGTCTCGTGGTCGAAGCATTGAGCTCAAATTGAAAGTTCAGGAGTTCAAAACTAGCCTAGGTCTGTGGTATATATAGGCTTGGGTAAAAACACTTCTTCACTTATCGCTGCGTACAAGGGTGCATGTGAGGGCACAGAGGGTGACTATGACTGATTTTTTTTGCAGCAAAATGGCTGCATCGAGTTATGAACTCCTTAGTTAGCTGGGATTGTGATTGCAATGTTTCATGTGCAAAATGAGCAGGAGTGTAATAATGTAGCATCTTGAGCATCAAAGCAGAAATAATATGTGCACTTATTGACCACGTATGCGTATTAATATTTCCTTGTAGTATTCGACATGGATATGTTCGCTACGATCGACGTTCTCAATTCACGCACACTGCTGATCGGCATCGTGGTATTTCTGGTTTTGTTCCGTTTTCTTCGTCGACCGCGCAACCTACCCCCAGGGCCATGGGGCTGGCCTATACTCGGCAACCTCCCTCAAATGATGTCGTCAGAGGGCACCATGTTTGAGTTCTTTTCAAAGCTGACGAAAAGGTTAGTGGTAAGGTTGACTTCAGTTAGTTTATACACATACATATTATAAGGAACACAATTTTTTTTAATGCCCTCCATATGCGCATGTGTAAGACTGACTAGATTTAAAAGAAATCCCTCCGACAACGGAAGCATACAGCTGTAATCTCATGTTTCAGAAGTAACACCGAATAGAAAGTCCCTGATAAGTTGAATTGACAAAAGTCCAATACGGTATGTTGCCTAGTTCTATGGACATAGTTAAACTGAACAATTGTTTCCTTGCATACAGGTACGGCAATATTATACATGTCAAGGGTGGTGGCATATCTATTGTAGTTCTCCATGGCCACAACACAGTGAAAGAAGCATTCTCGCAACATCAACTCAGCGGCAAACCTGAGCTACACATCACTGACAAGATTTGTCCACACGGGATAGGTGAGACCTATACTGTATCAAGGACAATGGGCCTGCGTTTGAGTTTCGGATCATGCAACAAGAAAGATGACTTTATTTTATATTATTCCTATTGTATTGGTCTGGAAAATTATTTTACAAGTTCCGTAAACGTAGTTAAATTAAGTGGCGAGAGCCCCTTTAAACCATGTACCATGGAAATAAAGGCCAAACCCAAGCCCTCTGAGAAAAACGATTTTTTTTTTTTATATAAGGAGTATAATGATGACAATTTGTTACAAGGTGAACAGACTGTCCAATGTAACCGACGGCTATTTTATTCGCGTGAACAACCAGTCCTTTTGCGCCCAGAGTTAAATTACATAAGTTAAAATGAAAGTGAATATTTGTTCTTTCTTTTGACCCACTGAAGGCATTCTAGATTCTTCTGGCGAACAGTGGGTAGAAATCCGTCGTTTTTCGATGACCGTGCTTCGAGGCCTTGGAGTTGGCAAATCAAGCTTTGAGCAGACCATATCCACTGAGGCAGAAATCCTCATGGAGGAAATCAGGAAACACAACGGCAAGGCCTTCGATCCCAAACACGCGGTGGGTAATGCCGTATCCAACATTATCTGCTCGGTAGTGTTCGGCAAGAGATTTCAGTACCATGATCCGGAATTCCAACGCCTCTTGAAGGCTTTATCGGACAACGTCGTCCAGGGAGGGTCCGGGGGCATGATTGAAATGTCCCCCGTGTTTTACAAGCTAAGAATGCTGCCCTTCGTGCGACGGTACATTCACGCGGTCGAAAATTTCTACAATCACATCTATCGCCTCGCCAAGGAACACACTCACGAGAAAGATACCGATAACCCTCGTGATTTCATTGATATTTTCCTGAACGAAAAGGAGAAGAAAGATAAACAGGGCATTGAGTCCCTGGCGCTGCAGAGCGAGAACCTGCCGCGCATTGTGAGCGACCTTTTCGCTGCTGGATCGGAGACCACTGCCACCACGCTCCGTTGGGCGATGCTTTACATGATGGCCTACCCTGAGGTACAGGCTCGGGTCCAGAAGGAGTTGGATGACGCCACTAGTCGTAATCGAATGCCGAGAATCGCTGACAAGCCTGAGCTGCCCTATACCGAGGCAGTGCTTTGTGAGTTGCAGCGCATTGGTACTATCGTACCAATGTCTGTACCGCACATGTGTTCCGAGGATACCACATTGATGGGGTAAGTGTTGAGTTTATGTAATAGTTTGAGGTGGTGTGCTTCATGATGTTTTGTATCGCCCATGGTAGTAAACGGCGAATCGGTAAAGCGGAGCTCCATATTCGTGGACGTTGTACAAAACCCACGGATCATGGCACGAGAGATTATTCATTTTATTTAAGCAGTATGTAGCATTGTTTTGAATCTGTAAGAAAGCAAATGTGATATAAGTTGGGACCTTTGCGTCTCGGTAACCCTTCCTATTTTCAAAATTATGCTCGAGTCCATAAACGTCAGAATTTTGTCATGTTTTTAGAATTTATGCAATCACAATTTGAAACATCACGGTACTATTCATCAATAGGGTTCAAAATGTCCCAATACATCGGCTCACCGCACGCAACATGTTTAGATGTATACCGCCCTATGTTGTTAATGAACTGTTGTTAAGGACGAGTATTATCAAGACCTTCCTCAACCCCTGAACCTAATACCTTGTAGTTCTTCAAGGAATCGTTTGGTTTCTAATTGGGTGTTGCACTGTTCTTTTAAATAGGTACAACATACCGAAGGGAACTTTGGTATTCTCCAACTTGTGGCACAACCACTTTGATCCATCTGTGTGGGCGGAGCCCAAGAGCTTTCGCCCGGAGCGATTTCTGGACAAAGATGGAAAGTTTCAATCGCGCGAGGAGCTCACGCCATTTGGAGTAGGTAAGTGTACATTAATGATAGTTTGAAGTCTGACTGAGCTAGATTAAAATTTACTAATTTGATTCTCTAAAACAATAAATTGAGACGTGACTAAATTCAATAAAGCAAAAGATAAATTCCGAACACGACCCTGAGCACTCTCAATGTTTTACTATGCGTCTCAGACTGAGAGATACATGTCTACAACATGTTTAGCTTTATTTTATTTCTTGTTCTTGAAAAAAAATCTAGGTCGCCGCATTTGTATTGGAGAGCATCTTGCGAGGCAAGAGCTATTCGTCCTTTTCACACACTTGCTGCACCACTTCACCTTGAAGAACCCCAACAAGACAACTCCGGTATCCTTCGAAGGGAACGATGGAATTGTGTGGTCTCCGCAGGACTTCACCGTCTGCGCCATTGCAAGAAATTGAGAAGATGGCCTTTGTGCGAAATGCCCGCATATCCCCACCAATTATTGCAATATTGCATGGGCACTACTGACCGCTTCAATATCGTTTTTAATTAAAAATTTAGGCTAGGTCACTTGCAAAAACATTTGCATGGATAGGAAACTTGTGAGAGGCTTGGTGGCAGCACACCCATCGGTACTTTCAGTTGTTCACGTCATGTTTAAGTCAATGTGCGCGCATGTGCAAAATGACGCAAACAATAGCAAAAGACCGGTACGTTTGCTGCCACCAGAAAAAAAAAGTATCTCAAAAGTCTCCAATAAGCCCTCGGATGAGGGTGCTGTGGAGTTACCATTGACAGTGGTGCGAACACACGTATCCAAAAATTACATTTTAAACAAGATTCACTCAAAGCTACCAAACTCGTTTAGTGAACAGTATGTGTAAGTGTTTGTACCAACGAATGGGACGTTTCAACAGCACACTCATCCACTTATTATGGCCTACTTCGTACAAACGGAGCATGCGTGCATGGAAGTACTGACCCGCGGTCATCAGGTATGTACCGATATCAAACGAAAACTCAAATAATATAGAGATAACTAGTGCCCCTGGATAGGCCGGTGGAAGAACTGATATGAACATCATCAGTTTGAGAATAAATCATAAAATGTGCTATCCCCCCCGAAAAAAAATATAAAAATATAAAAAATAAAATAATGATAATAATAATAAGCAAAAATACACTTCAACGATTGCCATGTAAAGACACCATTTATGTATATTTCTGAAACTGTTTAAAATGTGATTTCCAACATTATAAAATAACATTTAGTTTTTATTGAATATTGATTCACGTAGAAGCCACAAACATAACTTTGTTATAATTTTGGAAACAATGAGCTCAACAGGAAAAATGTAACTTCTTAATGTGAAAAGTACTATGACATATACATGGATGTAAGCCACCCTGAAGTACACTGCCTGCCAATATTAGTCGCTTTTTACAGTCTGAAGCTTTTTAAGCGCATTTCAAAGAATGACGGCAATACTGTAAATAGCAATTTCCTCTTTAGAACTTAATTCTCTATGAGCAAATGTTTGAGATATTTGATTTCTTTTTACGTTTTAATATTCGACGATTTAGTTAAAGATATTGTAGAGAGATCAAATGAAACCCACACAATGAGTGCGACCGTTGATGCGCATGTAGTTCACATCACTCAACGTAAAACTCCCGACCAGCGCATAAAATTGTAATGTGAATGAAAGAAACCAATAAGGACATAATATAGCATTTTTTAAGAAATTAAACGCTGAAAGCATAGATAGTTTGATTCGCAACGCTTTTGAAAATAGTTACTGTTATTTTTATTTGAAATCAAAAAAGTGTTACATCAAAGCAAGCCTATGTCGACTACTATACATGTACATTAAACTGTCAATTAAATTAGAATGATTACTTGATTTTTCGGTATATGACAAAACGGACTTTTTATTTGTTCAAACATGGTCAAAAAAGTCTTCCCGTAGGGCCTACTGATAAAATGACTTTGTCATCTTTTCCACACTACCGCAGTTGCGTATCCACAAGTGGTTGGACCTTGCCCCCCCCCCCCCCCCCCCCCCCCCCCCCCCCCCCCACCGGGGAATTTTTGTGAAAGATATTTGAATAATAGTTCTGAAATGAACCCCCCCCCCAAAAAAAAAAAAAAAAAAAAAAAAAAAAAGGAAGATCCGAAAGCATCACAATGGCCCTTGAAAATCATATTTACCATAATGCATGATAATGGTGCCTTGCAAATCCTCAAATGTTTTTGACAGTAGTCGGTTTATGTTCCAACAGATTCACTGATTCCTTTTGGGAATCACTCTTTTGGTCTAGACATTGTCCACTCTAGTTAGGACAAGGACTAGTTACCACCATAGTTGTTCCAAGCGTCATTGAGTTGTCTGTTTGACAGCAGGCGCGATTTCGAAGCCCATAATTTTTTAGAGGGGCTAGAAGTGGATTTTCTTCTCCGGACCCTTGGGGTGTATCCAGGCGCGTACGCAGGGGGGGGGGGGGGGGGGGGTGTTTTGGCTGTTAAACATCCCCCTTTGCCATGTAAAAATATGGAGGGAAAAGAGAGTTATGTGACCGAGCGCGGAACAATTACAAATTATGTGCATGTTCTCAACTTTAAGCTTTGAATACAGAAGACACTTTATAAGAGCAAGAGTATATAGGCCTATATGTATTTGAAACAAATGAAACAAAATATCCCCTCATAATTTAAAAAAATTCTGCTAAAAAAAACAGGGGAAAGTGGCCAGGAAACGCCTCAGATTGCACCACAGAGCATCTACGATCCAAAATTTCCCGGGGCCCTTAAGCGGGCCCCGGACCCACGCCGTAAGTGCTTCGCGCTCCGCGCTCGCATTGGTTCTCCGGCCAAATTAATCCCGGGATATACCGTTATTTCGTTTTACTGTTTTGGATTACCTCAAAAACAAAAACAGTACACGAACCATTGACCGTTTTCTCGTTTTACAGTTTTGTAAAACGGTCAAACGGTATTAAGTCACACACACAAAATACTTGTTGTTGTTTTTAATTGTAGAAAGCGTTAAACAGTTAGTTGCTTTATTTTTAGAGTGTTGTTTTACAAAATCATGACAATAACAAAACGGTCAATAGTCTTGCCGAACATTTTTTTTGATTTTAGGTTCGGCAATTAAGCAATGCACCGGAATGTTAATTAATGCGTCCTTGGGATCGAGTCATTGCCTGGGCCCCGCTCCTTACATTTCGTTCTCACGACAAAATTTGCGAATTGGCTATTGAAGAGCCGCGTCGACTTGAACCCCAGTTTCCTTCAAAATGTCTGCAACTTCATCAAACGTCTTATTACCATCCTGTTTCCATTGTGAAATGTAATGTCCTCCCTTGAAGTTTTCCAGCGCCATTTTGCTTGGAACTCTTTAAGCCCCACCAACTTGACTGAGTCGCATGAGAAAGGGGTCAGGGTCCGCGCCAGGAATCACATCACGCATTAATTATGCTGAGGTAACACTTCTTCGTGTAAAACATGGTCCCCTCCACCCCCTTGCCCACCGCCACAAAATGCACCACGGACTGTTAACCATGACACTGGAATAAAAAAAACAGTCTGTATTTGTGTAAACGGAGAAACCGTATTTATCTTAATACCGCTTGTCGTTTTATAACACTGTAAAACGACAAAACGGTCGATGATTCGTTTACTGTTTTTGTTTTTGAGGAAATCCAATACGGTAAAACGAAATCACGGTATGTCCTGGGATTCAAATTCCCTCTATGCTATAATTTCACCCTAGCGGTGCCCCCACCATTTTGTACCTTCAGCAGCGAATGGCTCTACAAGTGGCTTAAATCCCTTTTCAAAATAGAAAATTGTGAAAAAATACGGAGATGGAACATGGTTCTCAACTTTGAGTACGTAACAAACTTTATAAAAAAAAAATAACAAATTTAAATGGAATTTTCGATGTTTAAAACGATTTCTAAACGGTGGAAGTGGCCAAGAATCGCCTCAGATTGCACCACAGAGCATCTAAAATCCCAATTTTTCCGGGGCCCTTAAGCGGGCCTAGGACCCCTCGCCGTGAGGGCTTCGCAGGTCCTGGATCCCTCATTACAATAATTCTAGGCCCCCCGGCAAATGGCAGTCTGAATCCGCTCCTGTGACCAGAGCGCATATGTATCCAGTATCTGAAGTTTGGCCTTAGGGGTGGGGGCGGTTTACACAAAGATTCCCAACGGATGAGAATAATGAGATCCAGGGGACGAAGCTGAGTGATTTTAGCCAATACCAAGAACAGATCCTAGCACTTCCGCAGCCCGTGTCACTTTGTTTCTTGAATTTCTTCTTTGTTTGGTTTAAATGCTGTTGAGGGAGGGGACTGCCCACATTGACCCCTTTACTCATATGTTCATCATACTCTAAAGACACAGAACATTTTTTTTCCCGATTTACTATGCTTTAGCTCAAAAAGATAACTGATGGTCGTGGGTTCCCGGCCCTTCGAGTTTAACCCGTCCAAATATACCCTCTTTTATTTCTGGCGCCAACACAAACTCCTGACTTTTATTTTAGCGTAAAGTTTAGCCCACTGATACTATTTTTTATTTCTGGCGCCAACACAATTTACCATCTTCATTTCTAACGTCATAAATGACGACATCCAATTTTGAAACACCCCCTTGAAAAAATCCTGCGTACGCCACTGGGTGTATCATATTTTCAATTGGGAGCACTTACAGAATCCTACTGTCATTTAAACTGTACTACAGACGTCCAATTCTCATGAGTATTTTTTATGGGGGTAGAACGTTTGCATGTGACTAAACTTATAAAACGGAGAAACCGTATTTATCTTAATACCGCTTGTCGTTTTATAACACTGTAAAACGACAAAACGGTCGATGATTCGTTTACTGTTTTTGTTTTTGAGGAAATCCAAAACGGTAAAACGAAATAACGGTATGCGCACTGGGTGTATCATATTTTCATTTGGGAGCACTTACAGAATCCTACTGTCATTTACAATGTACTACAGACGCCCAATTCTCATGAGTATTTTTTATGGGGGTAGAACGTTTGCATGTGACGTCACCTTCTAACATTTGCTACTGCCATTTTGTATGCCAATTCTTTTTTCTTGTTTTATTTAATTTTTTTTAGGGGGTAGACTTTTGTGTTTTGTTTTTGCTGGGGAGGGGCTCAAGCCCCCTGGCCCCGGTAGAACCGCGCCAAGTCGACAGTATGGTACAATTACAGTTACCAATAACATTTTTCACTTGTCATCAGTCCTGAAAATGTGTGTTCATCAAACCATATGGGTTTGATCCCAGGGATGGAGGTGGTGGAGGGACGACATGTTCCCCAACATTTTTGGTCGAGGAATGTTAATGCTTGCCACTCCTCCAATATTGTATCTCAGTCTTAACCCAATGTACTTAAATTGTACTGTTCCTGTCCTCCAAAGGTGAAATAACTGTGAGATATTTTGTTCGTGCACCACTTTTTTTCACGGGAATTTACATAATGGGCGTATATGCACAGATTAATACGTACATGTGTGCCTTTTGAACCTATTTTAAATACATGTTGGGAGAGCAAACTTGTTCTGTTTTGGAAGATTTTCGTTTCAAACACTTGAGTTGATTTCAAACAATTTGGAAAATAAAACTTTATTCGACTGGACTAGACAAATCTTGATACCTTTTTTACAACACCCCCCCAATGAAGTTTTGGTTGCTTAACAGATTAATTTGAAGGTCGTACAATGGTAGATCCAATATCAAACAAATCAACAGTCGTTCGTTAAAACCTCTCTGAAACAACTAAGCACCTGGCCTCTAAAAGCAATAATAATTTCCGTATAAGACGAGCAGAAAGGAGAAAAGGAGAAGAATAGAAGAGAAGAACAAAAAAAAGAAATGGACAAGAAAACCAAGGAGAGAAACAAAAATTCATTAGGGAAAAAAAGAAATAATACCAACATTGAAACAGCACCAATAGAGGGTCGTTCTGATGGCACTTAATCACAACACCTCTGAAGTTCTGCCAAAAAAAAAAAAAAAAAACAGGAGTGGGATGAGGCATCAGGCATTTTGTTCAGAGCTTGAGCTAGTGTATGGAGGTGCTCACTCACTTGTAAGCTGCTCATTGACTGGCTCATTTGTGTGACACTCTTAACTAAGAAAATGTATTTGACCCCCCTCAAAAATAAGCAGTTAAAGAAGCAAGTGGAAACAAAATACTATTCTAATAAGAAAGGATCTTATACTCCTATTTAACAAGGAGTCTCAAATAGAGTGTAAAATAGAAAGAAAAGTATACTCCACCACCCACATAGCTATGAACAGCACCCTCAAAAGAAAGAGACCCCCCTCCCCCCCCCCCCCCCCCCCGCTTGCGAATTTTCTTTTCCGAAACTACCTCCGCATACATGTGTATTGATTAGAAATAATGTATTTACTGTGCCCATAAAGTCAAATCAGGGCGCTGTTAAAGTTAACCGGTTAAACTTCCGGAAATTTGTTGGGGGTTCGGAGGATATAGAAATAGTACGTTCATCAGCGGCAGATATCTTGTTTTTATCAATATCAGACCGATTTAGTCCTACAGCCGACGGCCGGAATGTATTTTTAGACACCAGAGGAAGAAGAGACAGCCCTGGAGCCCGTGCACTGGCTGGTATGGGATTGATTGATTTTTTTCCTGTTATTTTGGGGGTTTTACTAGCAACGAAAGTGTAACTTCCATGATACCGACCGGGTCAGAGGTGTAGGGGACTGTGCTTGTGTGTAGTACCCCTAGCATATAACCATTATGTTCACATGTCTGTACTCGTACCTTTGAGTCTAACATTTGGACTATAAATGTTCATTGTTGTGGGAAGGCTTTTGTATTTGCAATGGAGCTCTTCGTATCTGGGTTGGACTATGCAATTTTCTAGGATTAATTTATTAATTGTTCACACATGTATTGTGATTGATGGGATACGTGCACATGTATGTGAAGTTATGGGCGTTTATATTGGTTTATTTGTTAATGTATTTATACATTTTTTGGTGATGAATGGGAGATGGACGACTAATAATTTCCTAACCGATTCCTAACGCTTTCCTAACAATGTGTTAGGAATGTGTTAGGAATTGGTTAGGAATTGGTTAGGAATTGGTCAGGAATTACAAGTGGGTGTTAGGAAAGTGATATCGGATTTCGGCAAACGTGACCTTTAACCCGGGTAAAAGATGGCGGCCTCCATGAGTCCGCCATTGCTCCATGAGTCCGCAATTGCTCCGTGATTCAGGTGAGAACGTATATATTTTAACTAAATTTTCACACTTCCAAATACATCAGGATTCATTTTTATCCGGTGGGATATTGTTGGATGTAATTTTGGGGTACTAATATGCAGAGATTTTGAGGATAGGTAAGAGCGATGTTTTTGCAGGGAAATTAAAGTAATGCTGCGGTGTAAATCAGCGCGCATAACGCAATGAAGCCTTAGGTGAGCGCGTAGAAATAGTACCGCGTAGCTTCAGGTGGATTGACGATATCGGGAACATGAATCGCTGTTGTTTTTATGGAATGGACATGAACTTTACTGCTCTTTTTTGGTGATCCTGCCGTTTGTACTTACTTTAGTTGTAGGCCTACATGATTCTTTATTGTCAGCAGTCGCATGGTACTTTTTGGGGAAAGATGTTGCAACCTGATGCCACTTTTTTCTTCATACATCTTCTCAATGAAGGTCATTCAGTGCGAAAATGATGACAAGACTTGAATCAGTGGGACTGAAAACATTTCCATTTTTTTTTTAGGAAGTACCACATGTCCTTAAAAAAATTCTTGACTCTCCATAGACATAATAGATTTTGCACACAATCGCGGAAGTGCATGGCGTCCGGTTGCAAATTTTCTTTTTTACTTTTTAGTAGAGATAAACCTAGATTTGGTGATAGTCTGTGTTTGGTGAGATATGTTCTAACCATAGAATGATAAAGTTATTCTATTACTTATTATGTTAGCAGTCATTGTCATGATACTAGACCTACTACTACAACTAGTACCAGCCGTTTCACGGATACCGCCCTCTTTGATTTTTTTTTTTTTTTGGGGGGGGTGGTTATAACAATTTTCTAGGTCATATCAACGACAATACTTCCCATCATGCAACTGTAGCTGAACTTGATGGGATGTGTATTTTCATTGTGATTTCCCCCCTCCCAACTCCCCACTCCCTACCACATTTCAAAGATGGCGGTATCTGCGAAACGGCTTTTGTACAAATTGCTGCCTGCTAGTGCATTCATGTTTGTACACAAACATATGGAAAACCTGAAACATTGTAAAAATCTTATATAAGTAATTTCCCCTCCTTTTTCCATCCCTGCATCAGAAATTCAGAATTTGGCTATACACAAGTGACAAGTGAGGCGAGGTCATCATGTCTAAGATGGGGCGGTTACATGCTGCATGTATAGACGTAGTGATGTTGGTGTTCAGCGTGTTTGGTGAGTCCTATTTTGTCATGTTAAAAGACCCTGTGTGGTAGGGCCAAGTTGTACTTGTAAATTTTCATAGTGTATTAAAAAGGAGTAGTCCCCCTCCCCCCCCCCCCATAAAAATGAGCATCATTTTAGTTTTAGTTTAGATCTCCCCTCCTAGTCTTGGTAGTGTGCCCCCACTGTTTGTTCATTTTAGCCCACAAGTCCCCCTATATAAGCTGCCACATGGTCAAGCCTCAGTGATTCATTCGGCTGACCAGCAGAGATACAATTTCACAATATACATCATCATCTTCCTCCTACCGTTCTGCTTGTGTTTTTCTACTTTTCAAGTCATTGGTGAGTTTTCATTACTATTTCTTGTTATTGTATAAATCCAGTTGTATATCATATTACCCAGTTTCATTATTCTTCTTTTTGAGCTCCTTTGAGAATAAGATAAAGTTTCTCTAGACATGCTAGATGATAGTTCTTGCCTTCCAATTTTTCCTTGGAAAGAATGTTGCAACCTAATGTGACGCTGATCAGTCCAAATTTTTAGGGCTTTCCTTGTAACTCAGATATAAAAAAAAATCATTTGAGCATTGTAAGGAATGTCTGGACGAAGTCTTTCTTTAGGGGAGATTTTTAGACGAAAAGTTGACCCGCAAATTGAAAATGTAGGCCTTCTGGGGTTAGCAAGGTTGGAGGAGCACCTACACAAGGACACATTTTTAATTTGTGGGTCACATTTTTGCCTAAAAATAAATCTCTATAAACTGTCTAGTTCTTACACTGCTCAATTGAAATTTGGAATATCTGAGGCAAGCTATTAGAACCCCAAATATTGTTTTCCAGTTTCTATTAAAAAGCGTCAGGTTGTAACATACATTCTCCTTCAATAGTTTTGTTTTTGGTTTAAGTTGCTTATGACTCTTCTTTTTTTTCTTGCATTCTGAAATTATCTTCGTCTTCCTTGACTTGCTACATTTGCCTCTACATAGACAGACAGACCCATGCATTTACCATAAACCATGCCTTTCTATGGTCCTTTTGTAACCTGGAAAAATGAAGCACTATGGAAAACTCGCACTAAAACAAACTCTATTGGGATTAATAAACAAAACTAAACTAAACTCAGAATTTTTGAGAGGAAAATAGTCGCAAGGAAATTAAATTGAATGACCACAGAAAAATTCTAGATTTCAAACCCTAAAAAGACAAAAAGAAATAACTTACAAGAACTTCAAAGGAAAACCGAAATGGACCAAATAAGAAGTGAAAAGCAAGTTAACAACAACAAGAATTCTGCGACTTAAAACCAAAAACTAAAACCGTCAAATCAAAACTAATGACTAATAAACTCTAGAAGCAAAGACTTAAACTAACACAGTGTGAATAGTTGATCTCTCAAAGAACACTCAAGCAGGAATATAACAATGAAGCAATACCAAATGAGAAAACACATAAGAAAATGTTGTAATGAATATTCATGACACAATAAACAAGTTTTAAGATACAAAGGAAGTGAGAGACACTCCTCTCCAAAGTGAAGGATTAGCAGGTAATAAAACTGTGCTACTGGCTCCAAACTCTGTGCTAAGGCCCGTGAACCATGAGAATAAATTCAATGTCTTCTGATTAAACCAAAGCACATGGTCAAGAATTTCATAAAGTCTCTAATGCTAAGAAAATGTACAAGAAAAACATAAACAATCTAGAATCCAATGAGCTTTCAACCTTTCTTAATAAAACAATTAGGCCAGAAAATATATCCTTAAGTAAGACAAAGGTTAAACACAAATAGAATGACTAAGAACTTCTCTCAAAAGAACTTTTTTTGAGCTTCTTTGAGAATGAGATAAAGTGTCGGTAGACATGCTGAACAATAGTTCTTGCTTCCCATTTTTCCTTGGAAAAAAATGTTGCAACCTAATGTCATGCTATTTTAGAAACAGAACAGTCACAATTGTTTTGGCTTACCTTGTACCTCAGATATTAAAAATTCATTTGAGCATTGTAAGGAATGTCTGGACGAGGTCTTTTGGACAGATTTTTAGACGAAAAACTTGACCTGCAGATTGAAAATGTGGGCATTCTTCGGTTAGCAAGGTTGGATAAGTGCCTACACAGAAAAAATATACATTTTCGATTTGTGAGTCACATTTTGCCTAAAAATAAATCTCTCTTAAACTGTCTAGTTCTTACAGTGTGCCCAAGTGAAATTTGAAATGTCTGAGGCAAGCTATTAAGACCCCAAATATTGTTTTTCGTTTCTAAAAAAGCCGACAGTCGCAAGGAAATTTAATGACCAGAGACAAATTCTAGATTTGAAACCCCAAAAAAGTCAAAAAGCATTTACTTACAAGAGCTCCAAAGGAAACCCAAAATGGACCAAGAAAAAACTGAAAATCAAGTTAAAAACTCAATCAAGAAAACTGAGACTTAAAAACCAAAGAAATTAAAACCCTAAAATCAAACTAATGACTAATAAACCCTAGCAACCAAAGACTGAAACCCTTAAACCCCAACCCAGTGTTATGAATAATGAATATTCATGACACAATAAACAAGTTTTAAGATACAAAGGAAGTGAGAGACACTTATCTCCAAAGTGAAGGATTAGCAGGTAACAAAACTGTGCTACTGGCTCCAAACTATGTGCTGAGGCCCGTGAACCATGAGAATGAGGGAAAAAACTTTTGATAAAATCAAAGCACATGGTCAAGAATTTAAGAAAGTCTCTAATGCTTAGAAAATGTACATGACCCTTGAACACTTGTTCTACTTGTCACATTCTCTGTATGTTTATTCTTTGTTGCAAAATTGGCCAAATAAATAATAACAATAATAATAATACTTTCATTCCGTAATAACATAATCTTTATGTTTGTTTCTTTATAGCTATGCCTAAGAAAGGAAGAGGTGATGGATATTGGGCGCATATCATGCGACAATATGCCAATGGTCACTACCAATTTGGCATTGGCCAAAAGCCGGGGAGTAAGAGGTGGAAGGCAGAACTGAAGAAAGTTGAGAGTTGCCCGCGCCACAACACCCCCCAGACCACGGATCTGATGGGGCGCAGAATCGTCTGCAACTGTTCTTACCATGAGGTATGCTATTTACAAATCATTCTTGAGTTTCCTCCATAGCAAGGCAAAGCTTTCTTTGACAGTCCTTGTTTGACAGTCCTTGTTTGAGTGTCCTTGTTTGAGTGTACTCTGTTGCCCAATGTACATTGGCCAATGTGGGAAGGGTGTGCAAAAAACATAGGCCCTTTTTTTGGGCGAATATTGAAGTGCCTTGGAGTGTCAAATAGAGCAAGGATTATCAATAAATAACTTGTTCACGCAAAGTTAAATGAAGCCCACCCCACCCCCTAATCTCTCTCCAGCACACAATATCAGGGTATTTTTCAGTCATAAACGTATTTTGGTGTTTTATTTTTCTGTACAGGATGCTACAACTCAACCACAAGTGGTGCATCCAGGCCAGCCAGAAGTGGTGCATCCCCCCCAGTCAAAAGTGGTGCAGCCCACCCAGCCACGAGTGGTGCGTCCAGGCCAGCCAGAAGTGGTGCATCCCCCCCAGTCAAAAGTGGTGCAGCCCACCCAGCCACGAGTGGTGCGTCCAGGCCAGCCAGAAGTGGTGCGTCCCCCCCAGCCAAAAGTGGTGCAGCCCACCCAGCCACAAGTGGTGCGTCCAGGCCAGCCAGAAGTGGTGCGTCCCCCCCCCCCCAGTCAAAAGTGGTGCAGCCCACCCAGCCACAAGTGGTGCGTCCAGGCCAGCCAGAAGTGGTGCGTCCCCCCCCCCAGTCAAAAGTGGTGCAGCCCACCCAGCAACAAGTGGTGCGTCCAGGCCAGCCAGAAGTGGTGCGTCCCCCCAGCCAAAAGTGGTGCAGCCCACCCAGCCACAAGTGGTGCGTCCAGGCCAGCCAGAAGTGGTGCGTCCCCCCCCAGTCAAAAGTGGTGCACCCCACCCAGCCACAAGTGGTGCGTCCAGGCCAGCCAGAAGTGGTGCGTCCCCCCAGCCAAAAGTGGTGCAGCCCACCCAGCCACAAGTGGTGCGTCCAGGCCAGCCAGAAGTGGTGCGTCCCCCCCCCCCAGTCAAAAGTGGTGCAGCCCACCCAGCCACAAGTGGTGCGTCCAGGCCAGCCAGAAGTGGTGCGTCCCCCCCCCCCCAGTCAAAAGTGGTGCAGCCCACCCAGCAACAAGTGGTGCGTCCAGGCCAGCCAGAAGTGGTGCGTCCCCCAGCCAAAAGTGGTGCAGCCCACCCAGCCACAAGTGGTGCGTCCAGGCCAGCCAGAAGTGGTGCGTCCCCCCCCAGTCAAAAGTGGTGCACCCCACCCAGCCACAAGTGGTGCGTCCAGGCCAGCCAGAAGTGGTGCGTCCCCCCCCAGTCAAAAGTGGTGCAGCCCACCCAGCCACAAGTGGTGCGTCCAGGCCAGCCAGAAGTGGTGCGTCCCCCCCCCCCCCAGACAAAAGTGGTGCAGCCCACCCAGCCACAAGTGGTGCATCCAGGCCAGCCAGAAGTGGTGCGTCCCCCCCCCAGTCAAAAGTGGTGCAGCCCACCCAGCCACAAGTGGTGCGTCCAGGCCAGCCAGAAGTGGTGCGTCCCCCCCCCCCAGTCAAAAGTGGTGCAGCCCACCCAGCCACAAGTGGTGCTTCCAGGCCAGCCAGAAGTGGTGCGTCCCCCCCAGTCAAAAGCGGTGCGTCCTCCCCAGCCACAAGTGGTGCGTCCCACCCCGCTGCACGCCGTCTGTCAAGGCCAGCCACCAGATGTCAAATCAGGCCAACCAACTTTGGAATGCTCACAATGTTTCCAAAGAGTCGGAGTTGATGCATTTGTTGACCACCTGGCATATTTCCACGCAGAAATTAAGTGTTCACTGTGTGGAAAAAAGATCAGGGGAGAAATAAACCTTGTGGAGCATGTAAAAACAGTGCACCACAAGAGTGAGCAATTAAAAACCACACCCTCTCGTCCAGTGAGCCAGCCCCCCTCTCGCCAGGAAAGTCAACCAGGAAAGAGCAGGCCCTCTGTCCCTCCGCCCTCTCGTCAGGTGAGCCAGCCCCCCTCTCGCCAGGAGAGTCAACCAGGAAAGAGCAGGCCCTCTGTCCCTCCGCCCTCTCGTCAGGTGAGCCAGCCCCCCTCTCGCCAGGAGAGTCATCCAGGAAAGAGCAGGCCCACTGTCCCTCCGCCCTCTCGTCAGGTGAGCCAGCCCCCCTCTCCCCAGGAGAGCCAAACAGGAAAGAGCAGGCCCTCTGTCCCCCCACCATCCTCAAGTCCTCCTATCCAACCAATTGTATCACCAACTATCCAGATGAGGCAGCCTTCATTGGACTGGGGCAGGTTTTTACCCAGCCAGTTTAGGCGAGTGCTCCAGAAGGGGGACCAAGATTGGGTAGGCAGATGCCTATACGACGGCCAGGGACAGCTGAAACCCGACTTTCCCCAGAACTGGCATTATCCACCAGCACCAACCAAACCTAAATTCTCTGTGCCAGACCCCACACACTATTTCCGCAGACGGCTATTTGTGTGGGCGCCGATGCGGATGTGGAAAATCCCATTTAAATGCCCGAAGTGCCAATTAAAGATGCACCAAGGGGGCATCTACCCAAGGGCGAGGGAAGTCATTGATATCGACAGCAGATACTACCTGGTCGGTGCCGAGTACCTCAAGTGCGTAAAGTGCAAAATTCCTGTCTGTCCATGGAGCACTGACATGCTGGACCAGCTTGACCCCTGCCACAGGAGCAGGTTTCCGGCCATACTCACAGCCAAGTTGGCCCTTGACAAAAAGTGTGTGACACTCATGAAGCCGCGGACTGTGGGCAACAGCACCAGCTACCTGCACCAGGCCCTGGAGGAAATGCACAGCGAGGAATGGGCACGGCGCACAGTAGAGTATTTCTCCGAGTGTGAGCTCCACAGGAAGGGAACTAGGCTGACTCAAGCTGAGACGGTTTATGAGTCGCCACCACCCTACATCACGATACCCCTGGCCCAGTGGTTCGAGACGATTCACACCAATGAAATCCTCAGCCACATGGAGGAGATGAAGGGCGTGATAACCTCCACCTATGGGAGAATCCTTAAGTTGGATTCAACTAAGAAGGTAAGAACAATTATTGTTATACCTCTGTCTTGAATACTGTATTTTCATTGGCCTAGAACAATCACGTGTTTAGTTTATAAAGAGTCATAGTACACCCCCTGTCACACTGTCTGTGACGTAATATACCACAGGGAGTGTGCTATGACTTTGTGCGTACGGTACATACTGTACGCGTACGTCTACGTACGCATTTCACAAAAACGTTCAAAACCTCATATCCCAAATCTTCAAATCCCACATATTGAAATTTTACAACTGAAATTAGGTGACTAAATATATTTTTTGTTTTTTACATGTAATAAAGAATTTATTGAAATTTGTAATACAGATCACGAAGAAGCTGGCTGGTGATGTTGATGCCACTGCCACATGGATGACGAACGTGGGCAATGAGTACGGCGAGGTTCTTAACAGCGTCCTAACCACTAGCGAGGGTGCTGGTCTGGAGGCATTGTGCCAGGGGATTGTAAAGCGATATAGAGATGCTGGTGAGCCAGAGCCGGACATCATCTATGTTGACCGGGATTGTTGCAGTGGGTCAGGTGTGTAACTTAAAGATTGTAATATGTTGTGTAGATTTATAAAAGGTTAATTTGTATCTTGTCATACTTTTAGTATGTCCCTACATTAACTGTCAATTTTTTTATCTCATTGAACACAGGTGTACCGCCAATCCTCCATTGGTTTAGGCCATGGAGATGTAGGGTTAAGCTGGATGTATTTCATTTTTTGCATCGCTTCACCACCGGCCTCACCACTGAGCACCATCCCCTCTACGGGACATTTTGCTCAAAGCTTTCCAGCTGCATTTTCCAGTGGGACGAGCAGGACATCGCCCGGCTTCGCAGCGCCAAGAGGGAGGAGCTGCGAAAGCAGTTTGGTGGGCATGCCCCCTCGGAGGCCCAGATCACTGCCAACATCACGACGGGGGAGTTGGCGAGGCACTGCCGCCGGAAAACTCGAGGAGTGGGGGACACCCGCCGCATGATACAGGGGCTCCTGGACGCCATGTGGGATTTAACAGATTCCACTGGTCTGCGGTTTTTTAACCCAGACAGCATGGCGCACGTGTGGGAGGTGCAGCAAAAACACCTTGGCTGCATCCAGGATGTCCCCGGGGTGGACCTCTACACCAAGACTGGACAACTGGAGAAGGGGGGGGGGGCAAGGTCCTGGATGTCCTGCGATGTGGAAGGGGCTCCTCATCCTTGGAGAGTTTTTATCGCCACCAGTGCACCTTCATTCCTGGTAATTTACATGTTACAAGTGCACTAGTTATTGATATATATTATGTAAAGATAAACAAAGTTTATTTGTAAATTGTCTTGGCATTTTTTTAACGGACATACCAGGCATGCAACTCTAACTTGGATCAGCTGATTTCCTCTTTTTTTACTTGACTTGTGTGCCATTTACAATGAAAGAAAAACACTGTACAAAGTCTTCAAAAAGTTTGATTTTCCACTTTTTTGTGACTCCACAGTTGTATGCCTGACGTACTTTATCATGCACATTTCTTTTCTCAGGATTTAGGTGTAATGCTGTACATACACAGATGTATATGCTGGAGGGCTGTTCCAGATGGAACCTGAACCGCAGGCAGGACGCTATGGAGATGGGAAAGACGTCCAAGACGAAACTATATGACGTGCGGTTGATGTCGAGCATCAATGCTCTCAACAGTCGTGTCCTTGGACATAAGCTCCTGCCTGCGTTGATACCTCCTGGAAAACCTACTGGTAAGTTTGAGAATAGTTACCAAAGCATAATTCCTTATACATATTTTATTTTTAACACACCTCTTGCTGGTTCTTTATTCTGGTTAGCTGAAACACGGTCACGGTCACTTATATCAGCTAGTACATAACATTCACGTCAGCGTGAACTAGACGTGCATCAAGATATCGGGCACCTCAACGTTTGTTGACTAGTTACAGCGCCCTCTTAAAAAAAACTCAGGAATAAAAACTGAATATAGAGAAACTAAAGGAATTCATAGTTGAGTTGTGGGTTGGTTGAATTAAACAGTTCAGTTATAAAAACGATTTTTTTCCCCCTTATTCTAAATTTTGGACAGAGGTGAAGTATAAACGCATATGGACTGGCATAATTTGGTGCAGGTCATGCCCCCCACCCCCTATCCTGTGAGTGACCATAAGAGGGTCCTTTTTCCCTGGGCCTTCGGCCTCGAAAAAAAGGACCCTCTTCTGGTTAATCACATTCCTTCGGGGTGGACAGACGTGCACTGCTGACCTCATTGTCAGTGTATATGTCTATAACATTGAAATCCCATGAATTTCTAAAATTCTGTATTCTTGAAAAATACTCATTTTAGGTGAGCAAATTGCTGTCCAATATCTCCTGGCCCAGACTGGAAAGGAGGATCTTCAGACAGCAGTTGCGGACGAGGAGATTGGTTCGACACTGCCAGCACCACAGTCAGACGAACCACCAGATGATGACGTCCTGGATGCCACTGTGTGTGAGGCCAGTGACGTGAACATGAACGTCCCTGTGGCCCAGTCATCTAGCCCTAGACATTCTCGTCATTCACCGTCTCGCTCGCCGTATCGCTCGCCATCCCCAAAATCATACCGTCCTGCTCGCTTCCCATTCCAGGAGAGCCGCACGCCATCCCCGACTGGCCCAGGACCGTCCCCATCTCATCGATCCCCATCCCCTGAAAGCCACTCCGCATCTCCGCCTGAGGTAAGGCACCAATTAGTCGTGAACAGACTATTTTTTTAATTACTGTTGATTTGTTCAAGTATGATACTTTAATGTAGCACATAATACAATTCAACTTTTCAATAGTATCTAAATATTATTGTGTTAATGCAATTGATTGCTGCAGGTAATATGAGTGTGATTTTGTTATCCATATTTTCTCCAGGATATCCGACCCGATTCTCGAGGTCTCCGAGGCTGGGGAGCTGTAGATAATCTAGCCAAATTCCTGGTCGGCCTCAACAGGACTATAACAAATACTGAGGCAGAGGAAGTTGTGAGGCTGTATGGCAAGTTGGAGGCAATGGACAGGTCCCCCGTCAAATACAGCTTAAAGACCAAGAAGCGTCACCTGCCTGGGCCCTGGCGAGCTTCGCGTAAGCGGAGCGGGTCAGCGCCTGGTCAGCAGGCTGCAGAAAGGTAAAATCAAAATTATTTTGATGTTAAAATTTATAATGCAGTTTAATTGCTGTACCCACTGCTAAATGTACATCAGACGTCTGCACTAGGTCGTGGGTTCGAGTCCCACTGAAGTGATTTTTTCCCAACTTTCACTCGGAGCTAACACGCTGAGTATAGGGTGTTATATGTCGGTGAAGAGCAAAAAGTAACCTAATATTGATCTACATCACCCAACACAAAATTCCATCTGATGAATAGTTTACAATTTATGGTTATGGCTAAAAACAAGAGTAACATCTCCTAGCAGAGATATTTTTTTGTAATATAACACTTTTTTTAACGTCGCAATATGATTCCTCATCTATGTTTCAGATTGTACTTGTCAAGTTGGGTTGCGGCACACAAGCCAGACACGAACAGAGTCTCTGAGTGCGTGTGTTTGCACTTGGCCAAGGAGTACAAGCAGAAGAGAAACCGCCCAAAGGACAGGAGTTCCAAGGTGCTGCCCATACCCCAGTCCATTGTACAGACATATTCGCACATCCAGCAGCTGGTCGAAGACTGCGAGGTTGTGCAGTCGAAGACAAATTAAGTACTAGTCACCATCAACACCACCACTGTCTGTGCTTGGTGAGATATGTAGTAACCATTTATTCATATTAAACTACCAGAGCACTGACTAATGTACAAAGTTATGCTTGCTGGACGCATCCATGGTTTTACACAAACCTATGGAAAACCCAAAATTTTTATGGCTTTTGTACAGCTATTTGAAAATCATCACCGAAGCCAATACACCCGAAACCGAAACGCACAATCAGCAAATCTGCAAAAACAATGCGACACATGCACATATCAGTGGCAGATGAGGAGTTAGCGCTCTAGTCATTTAATTTAGCTCCATTGTTCTAACACTGTCACACAAAAGAGCAGATTATATAACCGACACACATATCCTTGTCATCTGATTGTTGAAACTCACATCATGTGACATTCGTTATTGCTCCCATTCACGCCGGGGCTCAAAAATCCTAGTCGCCCATGGGGAATTGGAAATATTATTCAACAGTTTGGATAATTCTTGTTCCATGACGCAATATTTGTGTACAATGCATGCTGGTGTGTGCATTCATTGTTGCCCATAGTGCATCTTGTTCCAAAGAGAGGGCGCTACAGCGTTGGGTTCAAACATTTTCGTGAAGGGATGGCTTGGAAGAGAGAAAGACATTAACACCAATTTTGTATTGAAATAAAAGTCCAAATATCAAATGACAAAGATCTATAGGGCAGTTATATAAAACAAATATAGAGTAGCTTTTAATTGTGAAGTGGGAGGAATATTATCGCTCGGTAAAATCGGGGCTTTTCCAGTTCATTCGGCTTCGCCTTGTGAAGTGGAAAAGTCCGGATTTTATTTTACGATAAACCTCCCATTTCACTCTGAGCCTCTCAATATTTGTATAATAATAAATTTAACCTTGCATCTTTTCAGGCTATATGCACGACAAAAACGAGCGGATCGTGACGCCTTGTTGCGAGGGGTTAGCCTGCCAGACACCATCCAGGTTGCAGGTGAGCCCCTGGCTTCTCCGATTGCTTTGCCGTCTTATCCAGTAGAGCATGGTCATACTCCACTCGAGTTTGACAAGCCTGTCAACAGGGAAGGAGAGGCGGTCTTGCGACGAGTCCGAATGCCACGAATTACAACCGCCACCGTCTCATCCAGGGCCACAGCCTCAGCCACTACAACCTCATCAGACCCCTCAACTTCCACCACAGACGTTCCCCATGGACCATATGGATGGGGACCATATCCCGAACCATATCCCCAACAGTTTGGTTGGTCTGGGAAACCGCCATTGTATGGCTGGCCCCAACCACCCCAGCCTCTGCAACCAGCCCAGCTGCTGCAACCACCCCAGCCTCTGCAACCACTTCATCAGCTGCAAATACCCCACCTGCTGCAACCACCTCAGCCGCTGCTGCCCCAGCCCCAGCCGCCCAGCCCCAGCTAGCCTCAGCAGCTGCCCTTGCCCCCTACTGCTTCAGACCCACCACTGTCTCGCCAAGGTAGGTGGAGACAGCATGTTTCTGAAAAGGAAGACAGAGAGCAGCAAGAAAGGGGAGTGCCCTCCAAAAAATATATATAAAAAGAGAAGTGAGCCGTACATGTGCCATCATTGCAGGCAGCCAAAGGCCAAAATGACTGGCCACTCCCAGTTCCGGGGCAAGTGGTATTGCCCTGGTTCACGACAAACCCTGCAGGAATGGAAAGACAGTTTTAAGAATGCATGAAGTGGCCTGTGTGATGGCAAATATCACTCCGTGGGCATTCCTGGAGAGTGTTGAAAAATATGAGGTATAGGAAAGAAATATCCTAAAAATACTATTGAAATAACTCTTGTGAATTTGTACAGTCATGTGGTTGCAAAGGGTGATTTTTCTAAAGGTTACGTAACACTATATTTTGAATGAAACTACATGTATACAGACATGTTCACGTTGGCTGGTGACATCTTTAACAATCAATTTCTCCAGTTTGGAAGACCTTTTCTTCATACAACTTTCAGGGTTCTCTTACAATGATCCAAGTACATTGTATGTGCTAAAAATCGTGTGATACATTCAAAAATAGGCCTGGCTACGTGTATTTTGAAAGTTGGAACACAGGCATTTGCAATATATGTCAATCTTTTTAAGCATGACAAAATATAATAAGGTTATAATATCCATTATGGTGTGCAGTAACAATTTGGAGAAAAGCCTCCTTGACAAGTTATTGATAAATATCACCCTTTTTGCCATCTTCCATTGGTCGATACAGAGACCAATTTATTTGATTTCAGGAACTTTTTGTCAGGATTTTTTTCCGATTTCAGAAATTTTGTATTTTTTGGGTACTGTGATCTAACTTTTGATTTTCTTTAACTGTTGAAATTGCTTTAAGTGGTGTTAAAGATGCATGCCCATTTCTAAAAAAAAAAAATTGTCATCATGTTTGGACATTTTCTCTCGATCTGTGGCGTCTGCAACCCTCTGTAAAAAAAACAATGGTTTTCATTTTAGTGCACCAAAGAACCCACCTTGAGAGAGCCAAATCGTTGTCTGGCCTGGCATTATGTACCCTCTCTTTACTTTATGCTGGTACATTGCATATTTGATCACATTAACTAATAAATGTTTGGTATTACACTACACAAATTCTTCTGTTTTACCTTTTTGTGTCCATTCACACCCCCTCCCCATTTTACACATAATACCATTATAGAAAACATACAGAATAGTTCCCAATAGAAGAGCGCGATGTTCAGAAAGACAACTTGAATCCCAAACTGTATAATTATGAAATTATACTTATTGCAAAGATCTGATTTATACTGAAATATTAATAATTAACAATAAGAGTCACTAATTTGCTGTTAATTTGATGGGGGGGGGGGTAGGGCAAATGCTCTCGATATAAATTGAGAATATAATGAAAAAGTTAAGGAATTTTTGGGGAAAATTTGCTTTCGGCCCCCGCCCGAAAAATATCCTGGCGACGCCATGAATATTTATGCCAAATAAAAAAAATAAATAAATATATTTTCATCAATTTAATCGAAAACTACTGGTTTGCACTAAATTTATTAGATTTACTCTCAATTTACGCCAACAAAAATATAATTTACATTAATTTTGCAATATATATACAAAAAAGAACAATTAATTTACCTAACATTGCATTAAAATCCATTAAATTAAAAAAAATTACACCAAAAAGTACTCGTTTTACATTTCAACACGATTCAAAACCATTCTGGCAAAAAAAAAGCATTTTTCGTCGTTTTCTCTTACTTCTCTCTTTCCCCCCTCCTTTCCCCCCTTTCCTTCCCCTCTTCCCCCGGGAGGGTAGTCCACTATGCCCCACTTCCTTCCGAACTTCCAAGCTGTTGGTCCCCCGTCCCCAAAATGTTTACCGCTACACAGACATGTTGCCTCGAGAGTGCCACTATGACGAGGGCAGTGATAAATGCTGACTATGCTGTTTCATATAGTTTTGTTTTTAATCTGACGGTAACCTGGCCTACAATTTGTTCAACAGACGCCTAAGGTAGCTTTGGGGTCATTCTCGATTCTTTATCGGTACACAATTGATCAGCTTTGTTCACAACCGCCACCACTGAGACATGCCACCCACACTGTTTCCTTTTGTTGTCACGGATAGGTAAGTATATGCCCTGTTTATGGTCGACTCCTTACCTGGATTCAAAAGGGAATGTTGACTCTACGCATTGTTATGTTTTATATTGTCCTGGCCACGTGGTAAACACACCCGGAGCCATCTATCACCAGATCCTAGTATGGACCATAGTACGTCCTTCAGAGGGGGTGTCAGTCTTGTGATCCTACTGGAGGGGTTGACAATTGGCGGGAAAACCCTGTGTGCTTGTGCACATTTACATAGGCTTGTGTACAAATGCACTATAAACATTGGGATTATTTCGATCACCCCTGTGACCAAAATGGAATGTCAAATAGGGTTATGTCTGTGGTTTTAACGGCTGTGTTTGGGGCCTGAGAGATACTCCAGACATGCCAGAGGTTAATCAGGGGTGAATGGGCTGGTTGTGAGGGTAGGGTGGCTTAAATTACATGTTGTGAAGTGACGTTCCATACATTCACTGGATAGTAAACATTAAAGGTGCTCGCTCCAGCAAGAAATTAAACTTCAGTTCTCATATCTTCTATTATTGTTCCCTCAATTGTAGCTTTTGGCCGAAAAGGTCCCTGTGCACGATCAAGTTATATAGGCGAGTATAAATAACGAGAGTTTACAGTAAACGAATTTTACAGAATCTATTGTATTTGACATTGGGTCATTGCACAAGCATGGTATAGACTTTCACACAACCCGCGTAGTATTTTCTTCTGTGGCTTTTTCCCATGTACAGTTTTAAAAATAATATTTGAATGACAAACGTTGTCGCTAAAACGATAAGTATGCACTTTGTATATAGTAAAGTGACCTTTTTGTTCTTTTCTTTTTTTAGATCATCATACATCCATTAAACTCACAAGGGAAGTTCAAGTACTTTGCTGTCAAGGTACAAAGTACAGGTATCCCGTGATTGATTGATTGTATTGCGTGTATACTAACTTGTTTGGGTTTACAAATCTCAGACTTCTGTTATTACCACAGGAGATAGGAGTTTTGTTGTGATCAGCTGGATTTTATCATTGCTGGTTTAAGACTGCATATTATATCGAATGAAGGTGTCATTCTTCCACATCATTGCATTTACAGATCAACGATCAGTGTGCCACTTACACCGTCTGCTGTACTGAGTATAGGATCTTCATATCAGCATACTGAAGTAAGATTTGACTAGAAACAAAATTGAACTTGACTAAGCATAATGAGGGTTTTCACCATCGTTGTGTTTGAGACGTGTTTGTACAAGCTTGATATCATGTGAACAAATTTTACAGAATGTATTGTATTGGACATCGGGTCATTGCACAAACATGGTATAGAGATTCACACAACCTGCGTAGTATATAGTAAAGTGACCCTTTTTGTTTAGATCATCATACATCCATTAAACTCACAAGGGACGTTTAAGCACTTTGCAGTCAAGGTACAACCCTTACGAAAATGTCCTGTGGTATTACTGTAGGGGTCCGTGTCTTTTGAGAGACTCCGTAGTCTTCGTGTGAGACCGTGATTTCATCATTTCTATTCATAGCGTGTAGCGACATGTCACCGCTATTCATTCACATGTATTGCAAATGGTTCCTTTGGAGAAAAGTAATTATTTAAAACAGTTTGGACGCATCAATCCTGAATTCACTTATTTGTAAAATTCTATTAATATGTGAGAATGTATCCTGTAACTGTTAGAGACACTTTTGCTGAGCTAATAGTATCAGGAGAGGGGTTGTGATCGAGGCGCATTAATCTACGTGTGTTTTGCCATCTTGGAAAGTGATGTGCAATACCGTCCTTTTCGGATCAGCTGCCAATGTGTGAGTACATTGAAGAATAGTTTGTGTCCCAAAACTCAGCTTTTGATGGTTATATTCTGAGATCTATTGCATGGTTTGTGTCTCATAGTCTCACATCACTGTCCCTGATACTACTGGACAAATCTTGAATTCATGTGTTGATTGGAAAAAGAGTAACTTAAGGTTCATTTGTCCTCTCGATCTGTTGTAAACTTTCGTGAGTGAATCACCTGGTCGTACACGTTGACTGTTTCATGTCTGTAATTTACAGTGAATGTTGTATGTCTAATTCTAGCTTTGGTTTCTTGCTCCATAAAATATTTTGTGTGATAGGTTGGCCTGTCTGATGCCATAACCCATCCCAGCTTGGCGTTCGGGGAAATTTAGCAATTTATAAAGGAAATTTATAAGGGAAATTTATTTAGGAACTGTAGGAAATTTAGGGAAATTAAGCAACAGGTAGGAACTTTAGTGAAACTCAACTTAAATGAATAAAAGTCAAAGGGAATTCTATTAAACAGGATTGTATTGAGTTAAAGATAACGGCATTTTGTACTGGAATTTAAGTACGCAAATTCTATACCCTAGCTCCAGTAACACTGGTTTATTTCATATAACACTACTTGCCATTGGGGGAACTGATTGTCATTTATTTAATTCTGCCTTGTGTATATAAAATCAGACATCAATTAAAATAATTTGATATTCCAATCTGAGAAGTGAAACTTTTTGCTTCCGCTTCCAATTATTTTGTTTCTGATTTGGAATAATTGCCTCAGCGTCCTAAACTCATCATTTAGCGGACTTTCCTTCGAGTATCGTGGTGCACATAACACTGCCCCATGGTCTCCGCGATCAGTGCATTACCACAAGAAAGTACCACAGGACATTACCACAGGAAAGTTCTTGTGGTTTTTTGGGACATTACCACAGCACTGTTCCTGCGGTAACATTTCTGTGGTACAATTCCTGTGGTAACAGCCCTGTGGTACAATTCCTGTGGTAACATTCTTGTGGTAACATTCCTGTGGTACCATTCCTGTGGTACCATTCCTGTGGTACCATTCCTGTGGTAATATTCCTGTGGTAACATATTCCTGTGGTAACATATTCCTGTGGTACTTGTGTGTGGTACATTCCTGTGGTAATGTTCCTGCGGTAATGTTACTGTGGTAATGTTTCTGTGGTACAATTGTTATTATTTCTGTGGTAAATGTTCCTGTGGTAACTAAATGTTCCTGCGGTGCATTTGTTATTGTTCCTGTGGTAAATTGACCATGGATAATGTTTTGTGGCAATGTTGCCGGGGGGGGGGGGCAATGTTCCTTTGTTAGTTTCTGCAGTACCTGTTCCTGCAGCTGTGGTATTAATGTATATTTAATAATGTTCCTGCAGTATTAATGTTCCTGTGGTAATTGCTGGATCGGATTCCATTGTTTCCACTTGAACGGGATCCTTGAGGTAGAATATCCATGGTTTCCTCTTCACATGTACCAACATCTTTGGTGGGAATTAAGTCAGGAAAGCTGGAAAAGAAAAGAAACAAACTTGTTAGTTTGTATGAATCAATATGGTGTTCAACAAAGGAAAAAAATGAGCAGATGTAGTTTCCCTTTTAAGTTGTGTTTTAGTTGCAGTCAAACTCAAAAATATTTTTGTACATCTCTGTTATATACGTTTCATATTAAAATAAATTGAACAGTCAACGTTTGTAATAATACCAAAGAGTGCATGCAACAACTAATCACTTACGCATGGAATATTTGAGGTAACATCCTCTGAATTGATTATTAACTTGTGTGTAATTTACGAATGCAGAAGTTAAACCAGGAGAGTAATTTCCCATGGTCACGAGCAGATGATGTTACTGAAGTTCGTCCAAACGGTTCCATACTTGATATACAAAGTAATTAGTTTGCATTTTACTTTTACTATGTTTAAATCTTAATGTTTGGTATCGTTTCATGAACAATATCTTCTTACCCTTTTTAAATTCCCAGTCAAATCACTTGAAGACAAAGTTTTCCAATTTGACACAAAGAACCCAAACAGTTTATACTTTTGATGAGGCAGATCTGATAACAAAGATGGCGCTGAACAAATACAGCATTGTCATCAAGTCATATGTGACACGGTTTATAAAGAGCATGGGATTTTTCAAAAAAAGCTTCCATGTTGAATGTGCGAGGATGCAAACTGTCCAAACTGGAATTGATTCTATGAAGTTGTAATGAGAATTCCTAACTGATCCACATAAATGTCTTGAAACAAATTCCTACATTGGCACTAGCTAGAGACATCATAATTCAGACTTACCGGTACATTAGGCAGACCATGGAGCTATAAAAATAGCTCAATGAACAGACGTACTGCAAGACCCATTCAGCATGACTCGATCCACTCGGTCCAGTTTTCATCATCCAGAAAACTTAACATGCCTCCTACTTTAGCATGTTCAAGCTCACAGTAACACAGTATATTATACTGGCAATTGATTTTTGCTGACAGGCAGAAGTGAGGCACTTATTTCATACAAATATTCAGTCTTGAATTCTGCCATGTCCAGCCCCATGCACATCTGTACTGCTTCTTGTAGTACTGTGATTCAAACTGTACTGGTTTTCAAATTTCCCACACTCAGTGCAGTGGAGGAGCTGTGTGGGTGACCTTTCGTGAAACCTGACCCCTGCAAGGTTAATACACTGTGTATATGGAATCACGCGTGGGTCATGCACGGGTCACACACTGCACAGGGCACACAAGGTCACACATGTGGTTGTAGGGAACAGGATACAGTGTGCCCTGCAATATACATGTACACATGTACATGTGCATGTACAAGTATGCATGGGCTTTATGTACAGGTACTGTTCAGTACACATTGGGGCAATATTTGTTCATGTATGTTTTTATGACGGTGTGTTCTTATTTGTGTTTTAGTTATAATTTATGTACATTGTATATTGGATGGTAATCTTTTTTTCTTTGGTAATTTATGTGGTAGCTCAGTTAACTATCGTATTTTTTAAATTTGCACATATGTAACTAAGGCGAAGTAAAATAAACCAGACATGTTTTTTCGTCCCGCCCGCTTCCTTTTTTGGAGGCCGCCTCCAAATGTTTTTATTATTTTTTAATTTTTAAAAATGCAGTAAAAAAACACCGAACCAGGTTAAAGCATATGCAAACTGTTCATTGTAGACCAATTCAACTCAAAATGAATGTAAATATGTTCAGTTCTCTTGTCTAACTTGTCTTTCATTTCAAAAGTGTCTTTGAACAGTGGACTAACACCAACGATTGCAGGAAATTTTAAAATGGCGGCCATCTTGAAAAAAAATTAATAATGAAAACTAAAAAGCCCCTCTAAGCTTCCTCCTTTTTTTTCCAAAATTCCGGACGAGAAACATTTTTTTTTATTCGGCCTATTTACATATATTCGGCCAAAATATATCATGTTTGTGTGTGTGGTATTTAGCATGGTACAACAGAAGTACCACAGAATATTGAAGGTACCACACACATTTATGTGGTACTTTCCTCCAATTCCACTGACCTGTGGTAGTTTGTGTGGTATTAAGTAAGTAGAACAGAAGTACCACAGGATATCGAAGATACCACACACATTTACGTGGTACTCTCCTCCAATTCCACTGACCTGTGGTAGTTTATGTGGTATTTAGTAAGTACAACAGAAGTACCACAGGATATCGAAGGTACCACACACATTTATGTGGTACTCTCCTCCAATTCCACTGACCTATGGTAGTTTGTGTGGTATTTAGTAAGTACAACAGAAGTACCACAGGATATCGAAGGTACCACACACATTTATGTGGTACTCTCCTCCAATTCCACTGACCTGTGGTAGTTTCAATTCCACTGACCTGTGGTAGTTTATGTGGTATTTAGTAAGTACAACAGAAGTACCACAGGATATCGAAGGTACCACACACATTTATGTGGTAATTCCACTGACCTGTGGTAGTTTGTGTGGTATTTGGTAAGTACAACAGAAGTACCACAGGATATCGAGGGTACCACACACATGTATGTGGTAATTCCACCGACCTGTGGTAGTTTGTGTGGTATTTAGAAAGTACAACAGAAGTACCACAGGATATCGAAGGTACCACACACATTTATGTGGTAATTCCACTGACCTGTGGTAGTTTGTGTGGTATTTAGTAAGTACAACAGAAGTACCACAGGATATCGAGGGTACCACGCATATTTATGTGGTAATTCCACTGACCTGTGTTAGTTTGTGTGGTATTTAGTACAGTACAACAGAAGTACCACAGGATATGTGGCAAATACCACACACATTTATGTGGTACTTTTCTCAAATCCTACTGTTCTGTGGTACTTTGTGTGGTACCTACATGTACCACAAGAATACCACAGGACAGCGTCGGCATTACCACATACATTTGTGTGGTACTCTGATCATATATACTTTTCCTGTGGTAATTTCTGTGGTAAACATATGTACCACAGAAGTACCACAGGAATACCACAGGACATTTCCGTAAGGGAAGGTACAGATATCCCGTGATTGATTGATTGTTTAGCGTGTATACTAACTTGTTTTGGTTTACACATCTCAGACGCCTGTTTTTACCACAGGAGATAGGAGTTTTGTTGTGATTAGCTGGATTTTATCATTGCTGGCTAAGACTGCATATTATATCGAATGAAGGTGTCATTCTTCCACATCATTGCATTTACAGATCGACGATCAGTGTGCCACTTACACCGCCTGCTGTACTGAGTATACGATCTTCATATCAGCATACTGAAGTAAGATTTGACTAGAAACAAAATTGAACTTGACTAGGCATAATGAGGGTTTTGATACTGGTTGTTATTGGTTGTATTTCAAACAAAAATGTATAACCAGCGAAAATAGTGATTAAGAGTCGGGATTATTAAACGTAATGTAACAGTGGGTCTAAAACGACTGGAGTGTTTTTTTTTTTTTTTCTGTAGAGATTTCACCATCTTTGTGTTTGAGACGTGTTTGTACAAGCTTGATGTCATGTGAACGAATTTTACAGAATGTATTGTATTTGACATCGGGTCATTGCACAAACATGGTATAGACTTTCACACAACCGGCGTAGTATATAGTAAAGTGACCTCTTTTTTTTTTAAGATCATCATACATCCATTAAACTCACAAGGGAAGTTCAAGCACTTTGCAGTCAAGGTACAAGGTACAGATATCCCGTGATTGATTGATTGTATAGCGTGTATAATAACTTGTTTTGGTTTACAAATCTCAGACGCCCGTTTTTACCACAGGAGATAGGAGTTTTGTTGTGATCAGCTGGATTTTATCATTGCTGGTTAAGACTGCATATTATATCGAATGAAGGTGTCATTCTTCCACATCATTGCATTTACAGATCGACGATCAGTGTGCCACTTACACCGCCTGCTGTACTGAGTATACGATCTTCATATCAGCATACTGAAGTAAGATTTGACTAGAAACAAAATTGAACTTGACTAGGCATCATGAGGGTTTTGATACTGGTTGTTATTGGTTGTATTTCGAACGAAAATGTATGACCAGCGAAAAAGGTGATTTAGAGTCGGGATTATTAAACTAAATGTAACAGTGGGTCTAAAACGACTTTAGTGTTTTTTTTTTCTGTAGAGATTTCACCATCTTTGTTTTTGAGACGTGTTTGTACAAGTTTCATATCATGTGTTGTCAAAAACGCAATCAGCATGTACCATTATGTTGCTCAACTAATTTGCTTTAACTGCGTAAAAGCGGAAAAGCCTTTTTTTTCTGTTTTTTTTCCCTTTTGTTCCAGCACAAATCGCATACACTCTGTATATGTTTTATTCCGCCTGACAATTTTATCTTTAAACTAAGTCATATTCCCATAAAACTAAACATAGACAAAGACCAGATAGGTAAGACCTGTGTAGAAGAGGACGTCATCATGACATAATCATCGTGGGTCAGTTGAAACTTGGTAATGTGAGTAGACTGGGATGTGTTATAAGTAAATACTTTTTGAAGATTATCACTATATATCTCGTACCCAACATGCTAAATTCAAAATTACTTTTGTATAAGGTTCGTTAGGTTATAGATGTACCGACAAACTTTAAAAAGTGTGAGGCCTTGATGACGTCATCATTAATGCGATTTTCCAAAATACATATAAGGCGAAGTCTGATTGTTTCGTAACTTGGTGGGTAGGTAGATACTGCTACTGATATGCAAATCCCGAGGTGACGTCATGATGACGTCATCACCTCATGCTTTATTAATTGTTAAACCTTTTACATGTTCTTTTAGAAAAATATTGACATAAAATGCAACCAGATTGCCTTCAAACTAGGTAAGGACAAAGAACCAAAGGTTAGGTTGGCCCAGACAATTCATCTTATGATGACGTAATGAATGGTCTAATGACGTCATCCGTAAAGGTGATTATGTTTAAGATTTTATATCTAGAGCACTGTAGGTCAGATTGGGTTTGAACTTGGTATGTACATAGACAGGGACGTGTTACAGACACAAACTGGCTGACGTCATGATGACGTCATCATGGGTCCCGATACGTCTGCATATTTTAAAGTCATATATGTGGAGAACTACAAAAATAGCTAAATACGCCATGGAACTACATTAATGTTCAAACCATAACAAACACATAAACTCATACAAAACATGTTCCGTTCCTCGAACAGACATAGATCTAGTTTGTAAGTTTGAGCGTGTATCTGCCACCGGAAACTTCGATATGTATATTTGTTGGCAGGCAGAATCTGCTGATGTTTTTCTATATTTTCCTTCGTAGAGTACGCCCTCTCGTGGTCGAAGCATTGAGCTCAAATTGAAAGTTCAGGAGTTCAAAACTAGCCTAGGTCTGTGGTATATATAGGCTTGGGTAAAAACACTTCTTCACTTATCGCTGCGTATATGGGTGCATGTGAGGGCACAGATGGTGACTATGACTGATTTTTTTTTTTGCTGCAAATGGCTGCATCGATTTATGAACTCCTTTGTTAGCCGAGATTGTGATTGCAATGTTTCATGTGCAAAATGAGCAGGAGTATAATAATGTAGCATACTGAGCATCAAAGCAGAACTTATTGACCACCTATGCGTATTGATATTTTCTTGTAGTATTCGGCATGGATATGTTCGCCAAGATCGACGTTCTCAATACGCGCACACTGTTGATCGGCATCGTGGTATTTCTGGCTTTGTTCCGTTTTCTTCGTCGACCGCGCAACTTACCCCCAGGGCCATGGGGATGGCCTATACTTGGCAACCTCCCTCAAATGATGTCGTCAGAGGGCACCATGTTTGAGTTCTTTTCAAAGCTGACGAAAAGGTTAGCGGTAAGGTTGACTTCAGTTAGTTTATAAACATACATTTTAAAAGGAACACAATTATTTAATTACCCTCCATATCCGCATGAGTTAGACTTACTAGATTTAAAAAGAAATCCCTCCGACAACGGAAGCATACAGCTGTAATCTCATGTTTCAGAAGTAACACCGAATAGAAAGACCCTGATAAGTTGAATTGTCCAATGCGGTATGTTGCCTAGTTCTATGAACAATTGTTTCCTTGCATGCAGGTACGGGAATATTATTCATGTCAAGGGTGGTGGCATATCTATTGTATTTCTCCATGGGCACAACACAGTGAAAGAAGCATTCTCGCAACATCAACTCAGCGGCAGACCTGAGCCACACATCACTTACAAGATTTGTCCACACGGGATAGGTGAGACCTATACTGTATCAAGGACAATATGCCTGCGTTTGAACTTCGGATCATGCAACAAGAAAGATGACTTTATTTGATATTATTCCTATTTTATTGGTCTGGAAAATCATTTTACAAGTTCCGTAAACGTGTTAGCCTTGACCAAGGCGTTGGGCCTATCGATTCGCCGATAAAAAAAAAATCGCCTATAAGAAAATCCCTAATCAACTTGGCAAGGCATAATTGCGTGCACATATCGATGTCCGTACGCTGCTAGTGAGAAAGTAACTTGTACAGCGAGTGGCTATGCTTGTAGTTGTACGTACGCACGTACACACGTACTCGTACAACAGCCATGCACACACAGTACATGCATGAGCTAGTCCGCGTAACCCAACGCCTTGATGGTTTTGAGTTGACCCAGCAAAACCTATTACGGTAATGAGGTACCACCCCCACGTATATACTGAATTCTCATTGGTCAGCCCGCGATAGGCTAACAAACACGTCGCATCCGCGAAAAAAAAACGCTGCAATGGCGGCCCGTTGCTGTGGGTGACAGTCGTTCAGTCCCAGTCTGTCCGAAGCAGTATTGAAGGCTCCAACGAATTCTGCAGGTAATGCTGTCATTAGACGATCGTTGCCCACTTAAATGGATTCATTACACGAGCCGAAAAACTCGAATCAATGTCAAATTGTTGAAAAAGTGACGAACATTTCGCTCCGGCTAAAAAGACATGGAAGACGCCATGATGGCTAATGCATTATGCATGCCGCGCGACGTCACATGATTTTTGTGAAGCTTACGATTGCTCAGCTTAAAAATGAATTTATCATACTATTGGGAAGGTTGTTTCGTGTGATTGGTCCAAGACGAACCTACATAATAATAACGGAATACCCGCATATCCTGAAGCCCGCCCATTTTTTTTCCAAAACTGGACGTAAAGATAAAGAAAGACATTAAACCCGGAAGTTGCAGACCCAACAAGGCGGTCGTTCGACAAGCCACGCGGCGCGTACCCCACACGTACGTACCTACGTACACCCACACGCAGAACACAGTAGGCCTACATTTACTGCCTTACACCATGCGTACAGTCCGTACTCACGTGTGTGTGCTTGCTGGTTGTGTTAGTACCGAACCGTTCGTACGGACAAGTGTCGGCGGTACACGCACGTAGCCGCGTTGATTGTGGGTGCAGGGCCCGATTATCTCCCTTCGACAAAAAGCCGAGAGACCGCATTGAACAAGGCTATAAACGTGTTAAATAAAGCTGCGAGAGCCCCTTTGAACCAGGGTACCATGGAAATAAAGGCCAAACCCCACCCCTCTGAGAAGAACGACTTATTGGGTAATATGGGGTTTTAAAAAGATTTATTATGTAAGGAGTATAATGATGACAATTTGTTACAGTGTGAACAGGCTGTCCAATGTAACCGACGGCTATTTTATTCGCGTGAACAACCAGTCTTTTTGCGCTCAGAGTTAAATTACATCAGTTAAAATGAAAGTGAATATTTGTTCTTTCTTTTGACCCACTGAAGGCATTCTGGATTCTTCTGGTGAACAGTGGGTAGAAATCCGTCGTTTTTGCATGACCGTGCTTCGAGGTCTCGGGGTTGGCAAATCAAGCTTTGAGCAGACCATATCCACTGAAGCGGACATCCTCATGGAAGAAATCGGCAAACAGAACGGCAAGGCCTTTGATCCCAAACACGCTTTAGGTAACGCCGTATCTAACATCATCTGCTCGGTAGTGTTCGGGAAGAGATTTCAGTACAATGATCCAGAATTCCAACGCCTCTTGAAGGTTTTATCGGACAACGTCGTCGAGGCAGGGTCCGGGGGCATGATTGAAATGTCCCCCGTGTTTTACAAGCTAAGAATGCTGCCCTTCGTTCGACGGTACATTCACGCGGTCGAAAATTTCTTCAATCACATCTATCGCCTCGTCGGGGAACACACTCACGAAAAAGATAACGATAACCCTCGCGATTTCATCGATATTTTCCTGAACGAAAAGGAGAAGAAAGATAAACAGGGCATTGAGTCCCTGGCGCTGCAGAGCGAGAACTTGCCGCGCATTGTGGGCGACCTTTTCGCTGCTGGATCGGAGACCACTGCCACCACGCTCCGTTGGGCGATGCTTTACATGATGGCCTATCCTGAGGTACAGACTCGGGTCCAGAAGGAGTTGGATGACGCCACTAGTCGTAATCGAATGCCGAGAATCGCTGACAAGCCTGAGCTGCCCTACACCGAGGCAGTGCTTAGTGAGGTGCAGCGCATTGGTACTATCCTACCAGTGTCTGTACCGCACATGTGTTCCGAGGATACCAAATTGATGGGGTAAGTGTTGAGTTTATGTAATAGTTTGATGTGGTGTGCTTCATGGTGTTTTGTATTGCCGATGGTAGTAAAAGGCGAATCGGTAATGCGGAGCTCCATATTCGTGGACGTTGTACAAAACCCACGGATCATGGCACGAGAGATTATTCATTTTAATTGAGCAGTGTGTAGCATTGTTTTGAATCGGTAAGAAAGCAAATGTGAAATAAGTTGGGACCTTCGCGTCTCGGTAACCCTCCCTTCTTTTAAAAGTTCGTTTATGTGATAATGTGCATGATACGTAAGCAGCAGACTTTCGCTTAAGTCCATAAACGGCAGATTTTTGTCATGTTTTTAGAATTCATGCAATCACACTTTGAAACATCACTGTACTATTCATCAATAGAGTTATAAGTGTCAAGATGAATAGCGCCCTATATTGTTTATGAACCGTTGGGACGAGTATTATCAAGACCTTCCTGATCTCCTGAACCTACTACCTTGTAGTTCTTCAAGGAATCGTTTGGTTTCTAAATGGGGTATTGCACTGTTCTTTAAATAGGTACAACATACCGAAGGGAACTTTGGTAATCTCCAACTTGTGGCACAATCACTTTGATCCATCTGTGTGGGCGAAGCCCAAGAGCTTTCGCCCGGAGCGATTTCTTGACAAAGAAGGACAGTTTCAATCGCGCGAGGTTCTCACGCCATTTGGAGTAGGTAAGTAAACATTAAAGATAGTTTCAAATTGTATTTAGCTTGATGAACATTTTGCTACTTTGACTTTCTTAAACAACAAACTGAGACGTTAATATAAAGCCACAGATAGAGTCCGAACACGACCGTGAACACTCGATCAGGCTGGTAGGATGGCATAAATATAAATTGGGCCGCTGTTCAGACATAAGACAAAATTGAGAGCAATGGGCCTTAAGCATGCAAGAGTCGGCCATATTGGATTAAAAACGAGGATAAATCTTATTTTTGAGCTTGCGAAGAGAAATGAAAATAAATTAATAAGTAATTTATTCCAGTCGATCGGCTTCAATGAATAATTTTAAATCTTAATTTTCCCTAATTAACATTCTTTTTTATGTTCAAACTCGGATAAAAAAATGACAGTAAAATAAGGCTGCATTATGCCTGAGTATAAAGTCTGGCGCCAGCCCTTTCAGCAGTTAATAATTAATGAAATATATTCAGGGAACTAGACAAAATGGCAAACTCGTGCATAAGGCTCATGCAAAGGAACCCACCAACAAAATACATCTGAGAAGTTGATATCCGATGAATTTGATACTCTCAATGTAATACTATGCGTCTCAGACTGAGAGATACATGTCTACAACATGTTGAGTTTTATTTTTCTCCTAAATGTTTTGTTCTTGAAAAAAAATCTAGGTCGCCGCATTTGTATTGGAGAACATCTTGCCAGGCAAGAGCTATTCGTCCTTTTCACACACTTGCTGCACCACTTCACCTTGAAGAACCCCAACAAGGCAACTCCGGTATCCTTCGAAGGGAACGATGGAATTGTGTGGTCTCCGCAGGACTTCACCGTCTGCGCCATTGCAAGAAATTGAGAAAATGGATTTGTGCGAAATGCCCGCATATCCCCACCAATTATTGCAATATTGCATGGGCACTACTTTCCGCTTCAATATCGTTTTCAATTAAAAATTGAGGCTAGGTCAATTGCAAAAAACATTTACATGGATAGGAGACTTTTGAGAGGCTTGGTGGCAGCACACCCATCGGTACTTTCAGTTGTTCATGTCATGTTTAAGTCAATGTGCGCATGTGCAAAATGACGCAAACAATAGCAAAAGACCGGTACGCTTGCTGCCACCAAAACAATTCTCAAATGTCTCCCATAAGCCCTCGGATGAGGGTGCTGTGGAGTTGCCATTGACAGTGGTACGAACACACGTATCCAAAAATTAGAGTTTAAACAATTTTAAATTCACTCAAAGCTAGCAAACTCGTTTAGTGAACAGAATGTGTTAGTGTTTGTACCATAGAATGGGACGTTTCAACAGCACACTCATCCATTTATTATGGCCTACTTCGTGCAAACGGAGCATGCGTGCATGGAAGTACTAACCCGCGGTCATCAGGTATGTACCGATATCAAACGAAAACTCAAATAATCTAGAGATAACTAGTGCCCCTGGATAGGCCGGTGAGAAGAACTAATATAAACATCATCAGTGTGAGAATAAATCATAACATGTGTTATTTCCCCTCCCCCCCAAAAAAAAAAAAAAAAAAAAAAGTAATAAATAAAAAATTATGAAAATAAGCAAAAGTACATTTCAACGATTGCCATGTAAAGACTAGGTTTTATGTATATTTCTGATACTGTTTACAATGTGATTTCCAACGTTATAAAATAACATTTTGTTTTTATTGAACTTTTTTTCACGTAGAAGCCACAAACACAACTTTGTTATAATTTTGGAAACACTGAGCTCAACAGGAAAAATGTAACTTCTTCATGTGACATGTAAAAAGTAATGTGACATATACTAAATGTAAGCAACCCTGAATTACATTTAGACGTTGTTCCTATTATGTTATTTGCCTGCTCAATATTAGTAGCTTTTCACAGTCTGAAGCTTTTTAAGCGCATTTCAAAGAATGACGGCAATACTGTAAATAGCAATATCCTCTTTAGAACTGAATTCTCTATGAGCAAATGTTTGAGATATTTGATTTCTTTTTTACGTTTTAATATTCGACGATTTAGTTTAAGATATTGTAGAGAGATCAAATGAAACCCAAACAATGAGTGCGACCGTTGATGCGCATGTAGTTCACATCACTTAACTTAAAACTCCCGACCAGCGCATAAAATCGTAATGTGAATTAAAGAAACAAATAAGGACATAATATAGCATTTTTTTAAGAACTCAAACTCTGAAAGCATAGATAGTTTGATTCGCAACGCTTTTGAAAATAGTTACTGTTATTTTTATTTGAAATCAAAAGAGTGTTACATCAAATCAAGCCTATGTCGACTACTATACATGTACATTAAACTGTCAATTAAATTAGAGTGATTACTTGATTTTTCGGTATATGACAAAACGGACTTTTTATTTGTTCAAACATGGTCAAAAAAGTCTTCCCGTAGGGCCTACTGATAAAATGACTTTGTCATCTTTTCCACACTACCGCAGTTGCGTATCCACAAGTGGTTGGACCTTGCCCTCACCCCCCCCCCCCCCCGGCGGATTTTTGTGAAAGCTATTTGAATAATAGTTCTGACATGAAACCCCCCCAAAAAAAAAAAAAAAAAAAAAGTAAGATCCGAAAGCATCACAATGGCCCTTGAAAATCGACTTATCATATTTACCATAATGCATGATAATGGTGCCTGGCAAATCCTCAAATGTTTTTGACAGTAGTCGGTTTATGTTCCAACAAATTCACTGATTCCTTTTGGGAATCACTCTTTTGGTCTAGACATTGCCCACTCTAGTTAGGACAAGGAGTAGTTACCACCATAGTTGTTCCAAGCGTCGTTGAGTTGTCTGGTTGACAGCAGGCGCGATTTTGAAGCCCATAGCAGTGGATCCAGATTTTTTTGCAGGGAGGCGTGCTGAAATGTATAGAGTTTTCTTCTCCGGACCCATTGGGGTGTATCATATTTTCAATTGGGAGCACTTACAGAATCCTACTATCATTTACACTGTACTACAGACGCCCAATTCTCATGAGTATTTTTTTTTGTGGGGGTAGACCGTTTGCATATGTCGCCACCTTCTAACATTTGCTACTGCCATTCTGTATGCCAATTCTTTTTTTTTTCTTTTTTTTATTTGTTGGGGGGGGGTTAGACTTTTGTTTTTTGTTTTTGCTGGGGAGGGGCTCAAGCCCCCTGGCCCCGGTAGAACCGCGCCAAGTCGACAATATGGTACCATTACAGTTACCAACAATAAAAACTTGTACTTGTCATCAGTCCTGAAAATGTGTGTTCATCAAATCATATGGGTTTGATCCCAGGGATGGAAGTTGTGGAGGGACGACATGTTCCCCAACATTTTTGGTCCAGGAATGTTAATCGTTTGCCACTCCTCCAATAATGTATCTCAGTCTTAACCCCATGTACTTAAATTTTACTGTCCTCCAAAGGTGATATAACTGTAAGATATTTTGTTCGTGCACCACTTTTTTTCACGGGAATTCACATAATGGGCGTAAATGCACAGATTAATACGCATTGTGTGCCTTTTGAACCTATTTTAAATACGTGTTGGGAGAGCAAACTTGTTCCGTTTCGGAAGATTTGGACCGAACAAATAGCTTTTCATTTCAAACACTTGAGTTGGTTTCAAACAATTGGGAAAATAAAACTTTATTCGACTGGACTAGACACATCTTGATACCTTCTTTACAACACCCCCCCCCAAAAAAAAAAATCAGGTTTTGGTTGCTTAACAGATTAATTTGAAGGTCGTACAATGGGAGATCCAATAATAAACAAATCAAGAGTCGTTCGTTAAAACCTCTCTGAAACAATTAAGCACCTGACCTCTAAAAGCAAATAATAATTTCCGTATAAGACGAGCAGAAAGGAGAAAAGGACAAGAATAGAAGAAAAGGAACAAGGAGAGAAATGGACAAGAAAAGAAGGGAGAGAAAAACAAAACATTCATAAGGGAAAAAAAGGAAATAATACCAACATTAAAACAGCACCAATAGAGGGTCGTTCTGATGTCACTTAATCACAACACCTCTGAAGTTCTGTCAAAAAAAAAAAGATAAGCAGAAGTGGAATGAGGCATCAGGCATTTTGTTCAGAGCTGGAGCTAGTGTATGGAGGTGCTCACTCACTTGTAAGCTGCTCATTGACTGGCTCATTTGTGTGACACTCTTAACTAAGAAAATGTATTTGACCCACTCAAAAATAAGCAGTTAAAGAAGCAAGTGGAAACAAAATACTATTCTAATAAGAAAAGATCCTATACTCCTATTTAACAAAGAGTCTCAAATAGAGTGTAAAATAGAAAGAAAAGTATACTCCACCACCCACATACCTATGAACAGCACCCTCAAAAGACAGAGCCCCCCCCCCCACGCTTGCGAATTTTTCTTTTCCGAAACTACCTCCGCATACATGTGTATTGATTAGAAATAATTTATTTACTGTGCCCATAAAGTCAAATGAGGGCGCTGTTAAAGTTAACCGGTTGAACTTCCGGAAATTTGTTGGGGGTTAGGAGGATATAGAAATAGTACGTTCATCAGCGGCAGATATCTTGTTTTTATCAATATCAGACCGATTTAGTCCTACAGCCGACGGCCGGAATGTATTTTTAGACACCAGAGGAAGAAGAAACAGCCCTGGAGCCCGTGCACTGGCTGGTATGGGATTGATTGATTTTTTTTCCATGTTATTTTTGGGGTTTTACAAGCAACGAAAGTGTAACTTCCATGATACCTACCGGGTCAGAGGTGTGGGGGACTGTGCTTGTGTGTAGTACCCCTAGCATATAACCATTATGTTCACATGTCTGTACTCGTACCTTTGAGTCTAACATTCGGACTATCAATGTTCATTGTTGTGGGAAGGCTTTTGTATTTGCAATGGAGCTCTTCGTATCTGGGTTGGACTATGCAATTTTCTAGGATTAATTTATAAATTGTTCACACATGTATTGTGATTGATGGGATACGTGCACATGTATGTGAAGTTATGGGCGTTTATATTGGTTTATTTTTTAATGTATTTATACGTTTTTTGGTGATGAATGGGAGATGGACGGCTAATAAATTTGATTTGATCTTATCATCACCCCTGAACCTCGACTCCACACCGAGTTTCACTACACAGGGATGGCGCCCTCTCTGATATTTGTATGATACGTACGCAGGTATATAATTATCAACAAATTAAGAAGGAAGTGGAGTCAAAATACTAGTCTAATGGTGAAAGGGTCCTACACCTATATTTAACAAAGAGTCTCAAATAGAGCGCAAAAAATACTCCTCCATACACATACATCTGTCAACAGTGCCCTCTAAATTCAGATGCCCCCCGCCTCCGCTTCCGAACTTCCAAGCTGTTGGGCCCCCGTCCCCCAAATGTTTACCGCTACACAGACATGTTGCCTCGAGAGTGCCACTAGAGTGCACTATGACGAGGGCAGTGATAAATGCTGACTATGCTGTGTCTGACGGTAACCTGGCCTACAATTTGTTCAACAGACGCCTAAGTCATTCTCGATTCTTTATCGGTACACAATTGATCAGCTTTGTTCACAATCGCCACCACTGAGACATGCCACCCACACTGTTTCCATTCATTTGTTGTCACGGATAGGTGAGTATATGCCCTGTTTAAGGTCGAGTCTTTAAACTTCAGTTCTCATATCTTCTATTATCGTTCCCTCAATTGTAGCTTTTGGCCGAAAAGGTCCCAGTGCACGATCAAGTTATATAGGTGAGTATAAATAACGAGAGTTTACAGTGAACGAATTTTACAGAATCTATTGTATTTGACATCGGGTCGTTGCACAAACATGGTATAGACTTTCACACAACCTGCGTAGGATATAGTAAAGTGACCTTTTTGTTTTAGATCATCATACATCCATTAAACTCACAAGGGAAGTTCAAGCACTTTGCAGTCAAGGTACAAGGTACATATATCCCGTGATTGATTGATTGTATAGCGTGTATAATAACTTGTTTTGGTTTACAAATCTCAGACGCCTGTTTTTACCACAGGAGATAGGAGTTTTGTTGTGATCAGCTGGATTTTATCATTGCTGGTTAAGACTGCATATTATATCGAATGAAGGTGTCATTCTTCCACATCATTGCATTTACAGATCGACGATCGACGATCAGTGTGCCACTTACACATCCTGCTGTACTGAGTATACGATCTTCATATCAGCATACTGAAGTAAGATTTGAATAGAAACAAAATTGAACTTGACTAGGCATAATGAGGGTTTTTATACTGGTTGTTATTGGTTGTATTTCGAACGAAAATGTATAATCAGCGCAAAAAGTGATTCAGAGTCGGGGTTATTAAACGTAATGTTACAGTGGGTCTAAAACGACTGGAGTGTTTTTTTTTTCTGTAGAGATTTCATCATCTTTGTGTTTGAGACGTGTTTGTACAAGCTTGATATGATGTGTTGCCAAAAACGCAATCATCATGTACAATTATGTTGCTCAACTAATTTGCTTTAACCGCGTAAAAGCGGAAAAACCTTTGTTTTTTCTGTTGTTTTTTCCTTTTTGTTCCACCCATCATCGCATAGACTTTGTATATGTTTTATTCCGCCTGACAATTTTACCCTTAAACAAAGTCATATTCCCATTAAACTAAACATAGACAAAGACCAGATAGGTAACACCTGTGTAGAAGAGTAACGTCATCATGACCTAATCATCATGGGTCAGTTGAAACTTGGTTTGTAAGTATACTGGGATGTGTTATAGGTAAACAATTTTTGAAGATTATCACTGTATATCTCGAACACAACATGATAAATTCAAAATTACTTTTGTATTAGGTTTAATTGTTAGGTTATAGATGTACCCACAAACTTAAAAAAAAAGGTGTGACGCCATGATGACGTCATCAGTAATGCGATTTTCCAAAATACATATAAGGCGAAGTCTGATTGTTTCGAAACTTGTTGGGTAGGTAGATACTGCTACTGATATGCAAATCCCGAGGTGACGTCATGATGACTTCATCACCTCATGCTTTATTAATTTTTAAACCTTTTATATTTTCTTTTAGAAAAATATTGACATAAAATGCAATCAGATTGCATTCAAACTAGGTAAGGACAAAGAACCAAAGGTTAGTTTGGCCCAGACAAGTGATGTTATGATGACGTAATGAATGGTCTAATGACGTCATCCGTAAATGTGTATATGTTTAAGATTTTATATCTAGAGCACTGTAGGTCAGATTGGGTGTTTGAACTTGGTATGTACATAGACAAGGATGTGTTACAGACACAGACTGGGTGACGTCATGATGACGTCGTCATGGGTCCCGATACGTCTGCATATTTTAAAGTCATATATGTGGAGAACTACAAAAATAGCTAAATACGCCATGGGACTACATTAATGTTTTAAGATGGAATTTTTGCGTCGGGGTGATATAAATCAAATTAGGTTTTGCCCTTCACCGACGTTTTTTAAACACTGTATACTCAGTGTGTTACCTCCCGAGTGAAAGTTGGAAAAAATCACTCGGGTGGGACTCGAACCCACGACCTCCTGCTTTCTAGTGCAGATGTCTTACCACTCACTGAGTATACAGTGTTTAAAAAAGTCGGTGAAAGGCAAAACCTAATTTGATTTACATCAATGTTCAAACCATAACAAACATAAACTCATACAAAACATGTTCCGTTCCACGAACAGACATAGATCTAGTTGGTAAGTTTGAGCGTTTATCTGCCACTGGAAACTTCGACATGTATATTTGTTGGCAGGCAGAATCTGCTGGTGTTTTTTTTTTGATATTTTCCTTCGTAGAGTACGCCGTCTCGTGGTCGAAGCATTGAGCTCAAATTGAAAGTTCAGGAGTTCAAAACTAGCCTAGGTCTGTGGTATATATAGGCTTGGGTAAAAACACTTCTTCACTTATCGCTGCCTATATGGGTGCATGTGAGGGCACAGAGGGTGACTATGACTGATTTTTTTTTGCTGCAAAATGGCTGCATCGAGTTATGAACTCCTTAGTTAGCTGGGATTGTGATTGCAATGTTTCATGTGCAAAATGAGCAGGAGTGTAATAATGTAGCATCTTGAGCATCAAAGCAGAAATAATATGTGCACTTATTGACCACGTATGCGTATTAATATTTCCTTGTAGTATTCGATATGGATATGTTCGCTACGATCGACGTTCTCAATTCACGCACACTGCTGATCGGCATCGTGGTATTTCTGGTTTTGTTCCGTTTTCTTCGTCGACCGCGCAACCTACCCCCAGGGCCATGGGGCTGGCCTATACTCGGCAACCTCCCTCAAATGATGTCGTCAGAGGGCACCATGTTTGAGTTCTTTTCAAAGCTGACGAAATGGTTAGTGGTAAGGTTGACTTCAGTTAGTTTATACACATACATATTATAAGGAACACAATTTTTTTAAATGCCCTCCATATGCGCATGCGTAAGACTGACTAGATTTAAAAGAAATCCCTCCGACAACGGAAGCATACAGCTGTAATCTCATGTTTCAGAAGTAACACCGAATAGAAAGTCCCTGATAAGTTGAATTGACAAAAGTCCAATACGGTATGTTGCCTAGTTCTATGGACATAGTTAAACTGAACAATTGTTTCCTTGCATGCAGGTACGGCAATATTATACATGTCAAGGGTGGTGGCATATCTATTGTAGTTCTCCATGGCCACAACACAGTGAAAGAAGCATTCTCGCAACATCAACTCAGCGGCAGACCTGAGCTACACATCACTTACAAGATTTGTCCACACGGGATAGGTGAGACCTATACTGTATCAAGGACAATGGGCCTGCGTTTGAACTTCGGATCATGCAACAAGAAAGATGACTTTATTTGATATTATTCCTATTTTATTGGTCTGGAAAATCATTTTACAAGTTCCGTCAACGTGTTAAATAAAGTGGCGAGAGCCCCTTTGAACCAAAGTACCATGGAAATAAAGGCCAAACCCCACCCCTCTGAGAAGAACGACTTTTGGGTAATATGGGGTTTTAAAAGTTTGTTGGTAATGATTTATTATTATATGGAGTATAATGATGACAATTTGTTACAGTGCAAACAGGCTGTCCAATAACCGACGGCTATTTTATTCGCGTGAACAACCAGTCTTTTTGCGCTCAGAGTTAAATTACATAAGTTCAAATGAAAGTGAATATTTGTTCTTTCTTTTGACCCACTGAAGGCATTCTGGATTCTTCTGGCGAACAGTGGGTAGAAATCCGTCGTTTTTCGATGACCGTGCTTCGAGGTCTCGGGGTTGGCAAATCAAGCTTTGAGCAGACCATATCCACTGAGGCAGAAATCCTCATGGAGGAAATCAAGAAACACAACGGCAAGGCCTTCGATCCCAAACACGCGGTAGGTAACGCCGTGTCCAACATCATCTGCTCGGTAGTGTTCGGGAAGAGATTTCAGTACCATGATCCGGAATTCCAACGCCTCTTGAAGGTTTTATCGGACAACGTCGTCCAGGGAGGGTCCGGGGGCATGATTGAAATGTCCCCCGTGTTTTACAAGCTAAGAATGCTGCCATTCGTGCGACGATACATTCACGCGGTCGAAAATTTCTACAATCACATCTATCGCCTCGTCGGGGAACACACTCACGAGAAAGATACCGATAACCCTCGCGATTTCATCGATATTTTCCTGAACGCAAAGGAAAAGAAAGATAAACAGGGCATTGAGTCCCTGGCGCTGCAGAGCGAGAACTTGCCGCGCATTGTGAGCGACCTTTTCGGGGCTGGATCGGAGACCACTACCACCACGCTCCGTTGGGCGATACTTTACATGATGGCCTATCCTGTGGTACAGACTCGGGTCCAGAAGGAGTTGGATGACGCCACTAGTCGTAATCGAATGCCGAGAATCGCTGACAAGCCCGAGCTGCCCTACACCGAGGCAGTGCTTAGTGAGGTGCAGCGCATTGGTACTATCCTACCAATGTCTGTACCGCACATGTGTTCCGAGGATACCACATTAATGGGGTAAGTGTTGAGTTTATGTAATAGTTTGATGTGGTGTGCTTCATGGTGTTTTGTATTGCCGATGGTAGTAAAAGGCGAATCGGTAATGCGGAGCTCCATATTCGTGGACCTTCGCGTCTCAGTAACCCTCAAATCATGGCACGAGAGATTATTCATTTTATTTGAGCAGTGTGTAGCATTGTTTTGAAGCTGTAAGAAAGCAAATGTGATATAAGTTGGGACCTTCGCGTCTCGGTAACCCTCCCTTCTCTTAAAAGTTCGCTTATGTGATAATGTGCATGATACGTAAGCCGCAGACTTTCGCTTGAGTCCATAAACGGCAGATTTTTGTCATGTTTTTAGAATTTATGCAATAACACTTTGAAACATCACTGTACTATTCATCAATAGAGTTCAAAATGTCCCAATACATCGGCTCACCGCACGCAACATGTTAAGATGAATAGCACCCTATATTGTTTATGAACCGTTAGGAGGAGTATTATCAAGACCTTCCTTATCCCCTGAATCTACCTTGTGGTTCTTCAAGGAATCGTTTGGTTTCTGAATGGGGTGTTGCACTGTTCTATAAATAGGTACAACATACCGAAGGGAACTTTGGTAATGTCCAACTTGTGGCACAACCACTTTGATCCATCTGTGTGGGCGGAGCCCAAGAGCTTTCGCCCGGAGCGATTTCTTGACAAAGAAGGACAGTTTCAATCGCGCGAGGTTCTCACGCCATTTGGAGTAGGTAAGTAAACATTAAAGATAGTTTCAAATTGTATTTAGCTTGATGAACATTTTGCTACTTTGACTTTCTTAAAGGGAATATACATCATTTGCTTTTGCTGTAATTTTCAGAAATGGATGGAATTGGGGGGTTGGAAATATAAAGCAAATATAGTTACACTGACTTTTTGGAGGTTTTTGGTTCGAAAATGCTATAAAAACCAAGAAAAACGATCATTTTCCTGTAGTCTGGTTCCCTGACTCCATATAAGAAGAATTAGAGCAGTTTACATACATTCGGGAATTGTAAGGTCAGGGAACCAGTCTAGCTGGCTCGTACCCGTTCATAGGTTTGTAATCGATTGCAAACAAGTGCAATGGTCCATTGGGGCCAGTATTTGAAAAAAAAAGCCAGTTGTTTCCAACGCTGATCGGCCGATCAGCGTTGGAAATTGATACAAAAATACCACTTTTCTTGAAAATGACAGTATACCAGGTGCCATAATTTTACAGGATGCTTTAGACTGTCATTTACCAACATCCTATTACGGTATTTCGCAAAAAACTTGGTAGTTTTATTTTTCGATGTTTGCAAATGTTGTATATTCCCTTTAAACAACAAACTGAGACGTTAATATAAAGCCACAGATAGAGTCCGAACACGACCGTGAACACTTGATCAGGCTGGTAGGATGGCATAAATATAAATTGGGCCGCTGTTCAGGCATAAGACAAATTTGAGAGCAATGGGCCTTACGCATGCAAGAGTCGGCCATATTGAATTAAAAACGAGGATAAATCTTATTTTTTGAGCTTGCGAAGAGAAATGAAAACAAAATAATAAGTAATTTATTCCAGTCGATCGGCTTCAATGAATAATTTTTAATCTTAATTTTCCGTAATGAACATTCATTTTTATGTTTAAACTGGGATGAAAAAAATGACAGTAAAATAAGGCTGCATTATGCCTGCGTAAAAAGTCTGGCGCCAGCCCTTTCAGCAGTTAATAATTAATGAAATATATTCAGGGAACTAGACAAAAATGGCAAACTCGTGCATAAGGCTCATGCAAAGGAACCCACCAACAAAATACATCTGAGAAGTTGATATCCGATGAATTTGACACTCTCAATGTAATACTATGCGTCTCAGACTGAGAGATACATGTCTACAACATATTGAGTTTTGTTTTTCTCCTAAATTTCTTGTTCTTGAAAAAAAAATCTAGGTCGCCGCATTTGTATTGGAGAACATCTTGCCAGGCAAGAGCTATTCGTCCTTTTCACACACTTGCTGCACCACTTCACCTTGAAGAACCCCAACAAGGCAACTCCGGTATCCTTCGAAGGGAACGATGGAATTGTGTGGTCTCCGCAGGACTTCACCGTCTGCGCCATTGCAAGAAATTGAGAAAATGGATTTGTGCGAAATGCCCGCATATCCCCACCAATTATTGCAATATTGCATGGGCACTACTTTCCGCTTCAATATCGTTTTCAATTAAAAAATGAGCCTAGGTCACTTGCAAAAACATTTACATGGATAGGAGACTTTTGAGAGGCTTGATGGCAGCACACCCATCGGTACTTTCAGTTGTTCAAGTCATGTTTAAGTCAATGTGCGCATGTGCAAAATGACGCAAACAATAGCAAAAGACCCGTACGTTTGCTGCCACCAAAAAGTGTCTCAAAAGTCTCCCATAAATCCTCGGATGAGGGTGCTGTGGAGCTGCCATTGACAGTGGTACGAACACACGTATCCAAAAATTAGAGCTTAAACTATTTTAGATTCACTCAAAGCTACCAAACTCGTTTAGTGAACAGTATGTGTTAGTTTCTGTACCAAAGATTGTGAAGTTTAAACAGCACACTCATCCACATTTTATGGCCTACTTCGTGCAAACGGAGTATGCGCACATGGAAGTACTGACCCGCGGTCATCAGGTATGTACCGATATCAAAAGAAAACTTAAATAATCTAGGGATAACTAGTGCCCCTGGATAGGCCGGTGGGAAGAACTAATATAAACATCATCAGTGTGAGAAGGAATCATAAAATGTGCTATCCCCCCCAAAAAAAAAAAAAAAAAAAAAAAAAATAAATAAATAAAAAAATAATAAATACATAAATAAAAATATAAAAACAAAAAATTATAATATTAATTAGCAAAACTACACTGTAACGATTGCCATGTAAAGAAACCGTTTGATGTATATATCTGAAACAGTTTAAAATATGATTTCCAACTTTATAAAATTACATTTCGTTTTAATTGATTTTTGTTTACCAATACCGTTTTCATATTTTACAATTTGATTCACATAGAAGCCACAAGCATAATTTGGTTAGAATTTTGGAAACACTGAGCTCAACAAGAAAAAGTAACTTCTTCATGTGAAAAGTAATATGACACTCTGATGTACATTGCATGCTCAATATTAGTAGCTTTTCACAGTCTGAAGCTTTTTAAGCGCATTTCAAAGAAAGACCGCAATACTGTAAATAGCAATATCCTCTTTGAAATTGAATTCTCTATGAACAAATGTTTGAGATATTTGATTGCTTTTACGTTTTAATATTGAACGATTTAGTTTCAGATATTGTAGAGAGATCAAATGAGACCCACACAATGAGTGCGACCGTTGATGAACATGTTCTTTACATCACTTAAAGAGGTTGTGGAATGCTCGAAGACATTTCTGTGATGTTTCGGGTATATGTAGCCTAAGGTGCGATGAAATAAAAACGACCATGGTGTCTGTCATGAAATGAGTACAAAAGGTACTTTTGAGAGCTGTTTTTCAGGTCCTGTTTCAAAACCGAACGTGGAATTTGTGTAAAAGTCGTCGTTGGGGCAGCAAACAAAAAAATATTAAATCGTGACGTAATAAACAGGACTCCCGATGCATCGTAGTCATGTTTATTACGTCACGATTTTTCTCATTTTACGAAGAACCCGACGACTGTTGATTTCAATTATGCGCTCGCTTGTCAAAGATATTTTAATAATATTAAACACACATATCCAATGTAATAATTGACAAATATTTAAGCGTTCCGACATTTCCAGAATTACAGTTTGACAAATTTGAGGTTCACAAAAAGCTACCAAATTCATTTAGTGACCTGTATTTTGTTGGCGTTTGTATCAAAGAATATGGCTTTTGTTTACTTCTATCTCGTCCACCTAATATATGGAGCATGTGCTCGAGGAAGTACTGACCCAGGGCCACAAGATATGTAACGATATCAAACGAAAACCCAAATAATCTAAAGAAAATATTTAGAGGTTACTATAGTGCCCATTGAGAGGCCAGTAGGGTGAAAGAATACAAACATCAACAGTGTGAGAAGAATAACATTTGTTATTCCTCCCAAAGAATTCCATCTATAGAGACTAGTTTGTTATTAATTCTAAAACATCTAAAAGTAATTCGAAAAAATGCAACATATCTCATTTCCAACTTCATGAAATAAGTGTTTTTTTGTTGAATTGATTTTTTGTCTACCAATACCTTTTGTTTTGCTTAAATATTGCAAATATGATTCGCGCAAAACCCCATAACATACTTTGATAGAATTAAACAACTGGGCTCAACAGGAAATATGTAAATTCTACAGGTGAACAATAAATGCATTATTGTCAACCCCTGGAGAATCAGTTAGGTGTCGGTCCTAGCACATTTGTTTTTCTGCTCAATATTAGTAGCTATAGCGTTTAATGCGCAAGCAAGCTAAAGAGTTACCGCAGTATAGTAAATAGCAATATTCTCATTAGAACTTAATTCTCAATGAGCAACTGTTTGAAATAATCGATATTGGTAGATTCAAAGATGTAGTTAAAAATATCGTGAAAAGATCAAATAGACATTCCTAGAGAAACCCCCACAGTAAGTGCGACACTTAATGCACACGTATATCTCCTCACACCAAAACGCATAATGTGAATTGAAGATACAAATGAGGAATTAATGTAGAACTTTGTTAAGTACTCGAACGCTGAAAGCATAGATAGTTTTATTTGCAACGCTTTTCGGAAACGTAACTGTTATTTTAATTTGAAATCCAAAGAAGGTTACAGCATAGCACGATCACTTTTACGTCGGTTGTCCTATTATGTTTATTCTCCTGCTCACTATTATTAGCTTTTAACAGTCTTAAGTTTTTTTTATGCGCAAGTTAAAGAGTGACCACAGTACTGTAAATACCAATATCCTCTTTAGACCAAAATTTCAATGACCAACTGTTGAAAATAATCATTTTTTTTTTATATTCGAAGATTAAGTTAAAATATCGTAGAGAGATCTACTGATAAAAACTCCTTGAGAAACCCACCAACGCGATTAGTGCGACATTCGATGCACATGTAGTTTACATCACATAAGTTAAAACTCCGGCGGAGATGATCGTAATGGGAATTAAAGAAACAAATAAGGATATAATATAGACTTTTCAAGTACTCACACGTTAAAACCAGATAGGTTTATTCGCAATGCTTTTCAAAATCGTTACTGTTATTATATTTTGAAATCAAAAGAGTGTTACAGCAAAGCATGTTTGCTTACACCGGTTTGTCCTATTATGCTTCCCTGCTCAATATGAGAACTTTTTCACCGTCTTAAGCTTTTAATGCGCAAGTCAATGAATAACCGCAGTACTGTAAATAGCAATAGTCTATTTAGAACTTAATATAAATGACCAGCTGTTAAAAATATTATTTTTTGGTTTATATATTCGAAGATGTACTGATCGTAGAGAGATCGAATGAAGATTCCTCGTGAAACCCACACAATAAATGTGACATTCGATGCACATGTAGTTCACATCACATAACGAAAAACTCCGGAGGAGAAAATTGTAATGTGAATTAAAGAACATAATAGGGAAACATTATAGACCACTAAGTGATCGAACGCCTAAAAGCAACGATTTTATAGTTTTATTGGCAACGCTTTTCAAAATGTTTACCGTTATTTGAATTTGAAATCAAAGGAGTGTTACAGCAAAGCATGCTTACTTACGGCGGCTGTTATACATGTATATTACTTTGTTCTATTAAATTATAGTTATTACTTGATTTTTCAGCATATGACAAAACTGCTTTTTATTTTTGTTCAAACATGCTCTAAAACAGTTTATCGTACTGGTAAAATGACGTTGTCATCTTTTCCGCACTACCGGTTTTAGTTTTTAAAGAATCTTGTACATTTATTGGACTTTGTAGAGAGCTTAATTACAGTATGGTAGATCAAGCAATTTTAAATATATAGAAGTGTGGATAATTAATAAATAATTTTGTTTCAGATTTGAAGTCACTTACATTTTTTGTCAGGAATTTTGTTTTTTCTTATAAACGTACTACATGTTCCTAACTGTTTCACATAAAATTACAAAACGCCACAAATGTGACTCATAATTCGGATTCAATACATTTAAACTGAAGTTTTCGGGCTCAAAATTAGCACTTGGTGATCAAAGTTCCATCGTGCCCCAGAACATTGTCAATTTTTAACATGACAATTGTCAGGCCAATTCAAATTTAGTTCCGAGGCTAATCTTACCAGAAAAAAAAAACGTTTATTGCGAAGTATCTGTATAGCCAAAGATTGAACCATGAATATTTAAGCTTCCAGATTTTTTTTTATTTTTGCTTTTCTTGACTTTCAGTCCCGTGGAACACCAACGATTGTGTGATGTCTATTTTCACCGTGGTAAAGTATTTTTTTATACCACAATCACATGACTTTTAGAATTTTGTCTAAAGTTAATGAATTTAATACATGCTTCTTGGCAGCATTATATACATTGTAATTGAATTGAAGAGTATTTAACGAATTTACTTTTTTTCAAGTATTCTTTGGATCCATGCGACATAGTTAAGCCATAACATAATTAATACTAATAATACTTGAGTAACAGAATACATGATCACAGCAGTGACTACCAAACGACTTACAAAATCGTTTGTTTTTTTTTAAGTAAAATCACTCATTGTGATTAAGCGTAAAATATTGCTTAAGGAGGTTTAAGTGCTAAGCAAAAACAAGAAGAGAACCAGCCATTGACAATTTGAATTGTTTGGAATTCGGCTGTTTTCCAGTTTTGCTGATCAAAAAGCATGTATACAAGTCGCTAAGATATGAAATTAGCCCTAATTTGTTTGAGTCAATTGTATAATGTACGACAATAGTCGATAATTGTTTCATAAAAGTAATTCATTTCTATGTATACATCATACATTATATAAACAAGCGGCTAATGAGCTAAGTACTAATTAAATGCCCGTAAGCTTGCCAACATACATGACAACTGGCTTTTGATTTGAAAGAAATCAAAACATTCTTTACAGTATATGGTAAAACAGAACAGCAAACAAGAAAAAAAAAAAAAAAAAGAGACAGCAACAAAGGAATGGGAATGGGTATTCTTTTTTTCATTCGGCGTACAGTAAGAAGCCACTAAATGAGATGTAGCGAAAGCCAGATGTACTTCGAGCCCTACCGGACATGGTTAAATACACCCTGTCTTCTCGCTGGAGAACCAACACAGCGCTCCCAGACACCTGCTCATAAACCCCATCGTCATTGCTGTGACCTGAAACAACCTTATACCCGTTTTTCTCAAGATGAACCCACACTGAACTGCTTGGATATTTGAGCACAGAAAACATGAACACGTGCGTGCCAGGTACATTACAAGTGTAAGTGCCGGACTCTAGATCAAAGTTGGTACCCGGCAAAAGCGTTTCGGTCTCCTGGAAGGGCAAAGGGTAGTCGTTACTGGTAGATGTTTCCGTGTTGCTGGTCCTCGTCGCAGTAAATGCCACCCGGTGAATGGTTTGGGTGTCCCCCGGCTCACCCTTTGGACCTATGGCACCACTTTCACCAGCATATCCTCGAGGACCTCTTGGACCCATCTCACCGGGTAGGCCCAGCACATCGTCTCCTTTAGGCCCAATCTTTCCAGGTCTTCCTAGTTCACCCATTGGGCCAATCATCCCTTTATCACCTTTCGAACCAGGCTCACCCGCATCGCCTTTTAAGCCAGAGGGGCCGATAGGTCCGGA